GCCTGGAGTTATGATTGTTCTCAGATGTTTCCTTTAAAAACGAAATGAGAGGAGAAGGTGAAGTTGGTAGAGCACCTTCGATTTGAAGCTGGTCAACTCTGTAATAATTGTTGTCATAGTAACCTTGAGGTGGCGTGTTTTTATCCACTGGAAGAGAATAGTCGGTGGGTATGTTAGATGTGTTTGCCACAGGAGGCATTATGGAAGTCCTCTCATTGAAGATTCCTGGAGAATTACTATTATAATTGAAAGGACTGGAAGTCGGAAGTCCGTACTCGAATCGGAATCTTCGATTATTATTTAAATCACTCACGAATGGTGGTCGAGGATAAGGATTAAAACCCTCAGGATACTGCGCTGAGGGAAATAGCGGATTGACAACTGACGGATATGGTAGCGTCGGATATGGTGGCGGATTGTTTGACGTTGGTTGAATAGATTTATACGGTCCTGAATAATAGTTATATAACGGTTCTGTCGCCCTGCTGGGCGATGTCCAAGTGGGAGATGTATTCTCAAGAATGGCACGTCCTCTTGTTGGAAAATCCTTATCGATAACGGAAGGAACTTTGCTATGCTTTTGTCTCTCTGGAGGATATAAGTTCACTGGGGTTGGGTTATCAAGCGGAGAATAACTACTCTTTAGACTGGGGTTAAAATGGGTCACGATATTCTCTTTGTGCAGCCATGCGTATGTATTGATATAGGTTGTTGGGGCATGCGCCGTGGGGCTTAACTTGGCGACTGATGTCGAGTTACCAGACCCAGGTCTCCTCCCAGAGCGAGAGTGTGCGCTGACGATTTTCCAAATAGCGTAAAGAAACGTCAAAATGAACAACGAAAATACGGCGTAAAACGCCACGGAACCATAGCCACGGTGACAAGACACCAGTGAAGTAAATTTCTCTGCACAGTTTAGGCTGCCGTTGTTTTCTTGCAGTCTTGTGTTCGAATTTTGAATTCTTTTCCACCAGTAACTTTGAGGCGGCGTGGCTGATCTGGTCTCTGAGGTCCGATTTCCTTGTTCTCCAACCATTGAAGGACTATACTGGCTAAACATACGAGGTGATAGATTATTAAAAAAATATAATATTATAGACTGAGTACAGAGAAGCTTTTTCTGAAAGTAAAAAGACTTTCGCTTTCAATTTTCAGTTTAATAATTTGCCGTCTGCTGCAGTTTAAGCTAACATAACACGACCTTATATGTCTTGTCATTGGCTAGTAGCGTACAACAAATTTTGGAAATCAGCGCAACCTACAGATTGGTCAGTTATCTGCAAGCAAATTAATGACTAATCTGTCGCATGGCGCGCGCAATGCATGATTTCCAAGAGCAATGTCAAACTATGTTCCCTGCAAAGGTGTGTTTGTCGTTATTTTCTTGAAAACAGTGTATAATAAAGACAATTATTAGATTCAGTTTTGTGATGTCCGGAATAATCAAGGTCGAGGTAAGTGTTATCTCCCGAGGCAGATGGCCGAGGCTGATGATGCTTACCTCGACCTTGATTATTCCGGATATCACACACACACACAAAAACCGCCCATGCAATCACTGGTTCAAATCAGTTCAGTTGGTAGGAGTTCCTTACTGGTTTTCTTAAACTAATTTTTATTAAAATGATGGGCATGGTCGGAATAATAAAATATGTTGGTAAAATTAGATAGAAAGATTAAACTAAAGAAAGTTTTCGATGACAAAAATTTAGGGTTGAAGAAAGCAAATAAATTAATAAAGCATTCGAAATGAGACGATGAGTGTTGAATTGAACCAAATCTTATCGTTACGTTAACCCACTGAATTGATTCTTTATTTCTATGATAAAGATCTATTCCTTGTGTTTAATGTTAAGTTAATCGCTTCACTGGATCCAATAATAATTTTGTCAAGCATTTGTTTGAGTGATAGCCATAATAACAGGTAGGCAAATTGTAAAACTCTTACGGTTGTCTGGTTAAGCAAGTATCGATTTTAAACAAAAACACCTGTATTAGCCAGTACCTTTTTAGAACGTTGTTGTAAACTCAAAACTACAAAAACTACTTTCTACTCACCCAGTCAAGGGAACCTAAGTATCTTCACGAGCGATCCACAGCCATGCCATCGAATTTTTACCATCCTCCTAGCATCCGGTTGTCACATTTTGGCAGATCTATGAATAACTAAATACCGCTAACCTTGTTTTTCGGTTATCAATTCGGTTTGCGTCGATATTTACAGTTTTTTGCTGTATTTTCCCGTGTAATTCAGTCTTATTTCGTCCAGAGCATTGAGAGCTTCACTCGTCACTTGAGACAGCGTTATGGCATACGCCCCAGTAGAAAATTTACTTTCAGATTTAGAAATGATGAAGAATATAGATTGAAATGAGATCATGTGGTCATATAAACGTTTTACGAGTTTGAAACTAAAAACTCTTGGCCGCTTTAATTTACGTTTATTTTAACAACTTTATTTAATCTTCTGAGAGGACTGTTGGGTTTTTACTGATTAGATGCAATCTATATTATCTTGTCGGCGAAGACAAAACAATCCGGGTAAGAGTCTAAAAATCTAGTATCTTTTAAAGCTCAAACTGAGAACCAAACTCAGAATGATCAATATGAGACTTAATATTCATTTATAGATTCGCAGTAATCAATCGTTTTGGTACACTGGATCGATTTTTGGCTGCGTAACGAGAAAGTTGTCCTTACATGTTATAGGCACTTAGAGGAAAGAGGAATTGCAAGCCCAGTGATAAACAAAATTAGGTCATGATTCCATTTAGAAGATAGGCAACCAGTATGATTATTTATGGAAACAGTAACACCGTAGCGCTTAGCAGTGAATAAATATCCCTGTATTTTAGTCCACAAACAGGAAACAATGGACAGACAAACGATATTAGTTAGATTTTTATGTCTTTTAATATTAAACCTTTACCTTATTCATTTGAAATTACCGCCTTTTATGCAAGCACCAAACATTGAGTCACGCGTTTTTTCCTATCTTGTCGCATATTGAAAGGGAGGATTTCGATTGAACTGAAATCACCTCTATCTATTTGTGAGACTATCTGCTACTTGTTCTTTGATCTTGAGAGCAGAGCACTCATTTTACCTGTTTGTGATTAATAAAATTCTACTTAGAATGCTAAATTACTGTTATATGTGTGTAGAAGACGCATGAGCGTGAGCGGCGGATTGCTCCAAACTGCGAGTAACGCCCCATATTTTTGTGCACCTGTTACAATGGTATTCTACTATTAACTGTTAAGCGCATGCTCGAAATCATTTTGAAATTGAAGCAGCTTTTCACCGCTCCAGAAGTTCCTGGTAGAACTAAACAGTAGCGGATCTAGGGGAGGGGCCCGGGGCGCCAGCCTCCCCCCTCCCCTTTTCTCAGGGTCTGGATGACCGCGCCCCCCCGAAGAAACGGTTTCAATCAAGAGCTCGGCTCTATTTCCTTGGTAAAGCTTTTAGCGTTAATGGCTATCTATCAATGTGTTGCTAATAACCACGTGATATACGCTTGACTAATATATAGATTTAGCCAGGGCTAAAAGCGAAGCTCTAGTTAAAAATACTTGTAAACAAAAAAAATTAAATCGTGTAATGCTAGACGAGGAGGGCAATGAAAATGGCATCAACATCAATAGATCCAATTAGCAAAAAAGCAAATTGCACGTGCAGCACACTTTTTGTCTGTCTTTGCCGTTGTTTTGCATAACTTCAACGCTGTTTTGTAGGACTGAAGCGTCAAACTTCCTAGTTACACATTATTTTTATGGAGGAATTGTCGTATGTGCTTACCCAATATTTTGTCTCCTGTGTTCATGTTCGCTTTTATTTTTCACTGCCGCACATTTTCACTTTGCTGGCCGCTAGCATTTCTCATCGTCTCACAGCCGCTTTGAATTTTGAATTTTCAGTCACTCGCTCTAGCTCTTTCTCTGTTATCCACGTGAGCGTAAACATCAAAAATAACGTCGAAAAAGACACGACTTTGTTGTTTTTTTTTCTTTCTAAAAGTCCCGGCGGCCATGCGATTTCTTTCCGTTGCATTTGGGTTGCCATACCTGTTGATTGAATTATTTGAGATTGGTATGCCTGTGGTGCGGACGGACGGTCGGGCGAGCGGTCGGTCGGTGTACGGTCACGTGATTACCCAATTTTCTCGGATGGTTTACCACATTTTTTTACCCATGGTGCTCCGCTGCGCGCGCTTTCACTTGAAAAGGATAAACCACAAATGATAAAAATTAGTGGATTTATTGGTGCAAATTAGTACTCTTATCACCTCATGCACCCCTGGACCCATATGCCGACAATGCATGGTAACACAATGATAACCTTTGTTTTATCAGTGTTATAATTGTGGTTTGGAACCGAGGGCTTAGTGAAGCCATACAACCCTCTTAACGCAGTCCCAATACACGCTTTGGTTTATGAGTAGTGCACTTATCCTAATAACGGAATGTGAATAATAGCCTGCTCGACTGAGACTCTCTAATTGTACAAATGTAGTAATCGTACGAACACTTCAGTCCCACATCGTCATCGTTATGATTTATGATTTTATGGAGTGACAAAGGTTTCTCAACCGAGTGTATAAGGATGCTGGTTTATAACACCAAATGGTGATCCAAGTACCCTTTGGCGCTCAATAAAACATCACCATAATTATTTTTGTGGCTGAAGTGAGCAACCTAGAGAAGCAGAAGCCTGAACTTAGACTGGACGATCGTTTTGCTTATAATTAATGAGGGGAAATCAAAGGATCAAGAAATTTATCCAAGCATAAAGGTCGTGAAAATTTAAAGTCTAAAATAAACTGCCACAACAGTGCTTGGGTGACTGGAAATTATATGATTACGCGAAACGTCTGCGAACAATAGCTCAAGACCCGAACTATTTGCACATACAGGTTACTTCACAGTTGCTTCAAGAATATCTATAGGCCGGTACCAGCAACCTGTCTCAAAACTGTTAACGGGTGTTTGTTAAGCTGAAATATGATCAGAAACAAAACCGACTCAGTACTGAGTCTTCATCATTCGACAGAGGAAACTAATGCTGAAAGCGTTTTTGAAAAAGGCGCTACAAGAGATAACATTGGGGAGAAAGAAGTTTCACTCTCTACTGAGGAGGATAGCGAGGATGAATTGTATGGCTTGGCGCTTATGCTTCGCAATACTAACAATGTCACCGGCAGCGATTTCGAAGGCAATGTTTTGTCAGATCAAACTAATCGCGAAAAAAGTTTAAAGAAACATGAGTCAAGGAGGAATGAAGAAGGCGAACGTTATTCAAAATGTTTTCCAAATGTAAATCGACGCCTTGTCATTTATAAAGGTTTTTATTTCTTCTTTTTCTCAGCTTTAGGCTCTCTATTTCCCTACCTTGCGGTATTTTATAAACAGCTATGGCTTTCCGCACACGAAACTGGAATATTAATTGGAATCAGGCCCCTGATACAGCTCTTGGTAACGCCCATGTGGGGAGTAATAGCTGATACGTGCAAGAGAAGCAAAGTTATTTTTATCATGTCATTGGTATCTTGGCTTGTGTCTAACTATTCCTTATCTCTGGTATCTCCCGTGTTTCATTTAGGCGATTGCAAAGACAACGGAACAATGGAAATAATCGCAGAAATCATCGAGAATAATATTCAAGTAAATAACTCGACCTCTGTCATTCATCAGAAGCTACGAAAACCTGTTGTTGTTAATCCAGGAGTTTCCAGTGAACAATGGTTTGAAATTGTAGGAAATGTAACAGCAAGCCAGTCATCAGATAAAACAATCATTTCTAAACAGAATGGTCAAGATCAAAGTAAACGTTCTCGGCGTCCAGTCGAGAATAATCAAAACACCCCAGGCCATGATGCATTGAACTTGGGAGCACCTGATTCAATAATGATCGAAGTTGGTGGTAAAAATGACCGAAGGCAATTATCCAGAACATTAAAACATACTGACTCAAAAACAATGGCCACACCTAATATCGAGAACTCTAAATTGTTCACCATGGCAGAAAGAAAACTAACCAAGACAAAATTCAAGGCTTCCATGCCAACTCATAATAAAAAACGTAGCACGCCTGCAAGTAACGACATTATTTTCAAAACTGATTTCTTAAAACGTTTTCATAATTTAAGCGATATAAACATTGACGAGTTGTCCAGTCAGATCAAAAGAGAAAGGATAGAGAAACTGTTTGATTTTCTTAACATGGTCGGTGAATACCCATGGCCTCTTGATACTGTGGCTAACTATGACTCAACACAGGCCTCATACGACTGGAAAAAACCAACTGATGAACATTTGTTCATGATTCTCTTTGTTATAACTGCTACTGGAGAATTGATAGCTGCACCAGCCACCACATTGGCTGACACTGCAACATTGCAAAATCTGGGTAAGTTTCTCAACTAGTGCGATATATATTTTTAATAGTTGGAAACTCAATGCTGATGAGCTAATTACAAAAGATTATAGAAAAAGTTAACGCCCGACTAATTCTTTTTAATATGCGCTCTTCGTTTCACCAATCCAAGAATTTATTTCTGAAGATCATTATAAGGAAGAATAGTCAGAAAAAAATCGATGACAATCTATGGAACTGTAAAAATGAAGAGCAGCCAACTGAACTTACGCATTATTTCAGCGTTTATACTACTACATGAGAAATTTCTGCAATCTGATTGGCTTAGAGCATTAGTATTTCAGCTTAATTTGAAATACCTACATGTGAAAATTACAAACCTTTTGTGGGTAGTAGTATAAACAAATAATAGCATGATTTGTACGTGATATATGGCATAAATACCAGCCGTGATATTTCAAAATTGTCTCAAATTTCACTCGCCTAACGGCTCGTGAAATTGCGTATAACAATTTCGAAATATCACTCGTGGTATTTATGCCAAATATCACTACAAATCATGCTATCACCTATACTAACCCTTGATTACAGCTACAAAAATATTCTAATTTTTTTCAGAGGCATTTTGGAATGTATTGCGCGTAATATTGCACCGTGAGCCTGCCTACCTCTCGTACTAAGACGTTTCTTACAGAAGTTGTTCTTAATTACTAGGTAACCGGCAAGAGGATTACGGTAAACAGCGTCTGTGGGGTGCATTTGGTTGGGGGCTGGCGGCATTTGTTGTTGGGGCAAGTATAAGTACAATTGAAGAAATCAATAACTGTAACAATCCTTTGAGCGTTAACTACCTGCCTTGTTTTTATGTTTTTGCGTGCCTCATGGGTGTGGCATTATTAATAGGAGCTTTATTTGAATTTGATGTGAAAAAATCGCAAGAAGAAGGCATATGGCAGGGACTTGTATTGCTTTTCGACTGTCGGTACATTTACTTTATTTGGACGATCCTGCTGTGTGGAAGTGCTTTGGGGTTCATACAAACATTTCTCTTTTGGCACTTACAAGATTTAGGGGGTTCACAACTCCTGTTTAGCATCATAACAGCAATACACTGCATTTCGGAAGTAATGGTTTACTGTTTCTCTGGATATTTTATCAAATGGATTGGGCATCATCAAGTGCTATACGTTGGTCTATCATGCTACATTATTCGTTTCTTTGGTTACGCTTTTATTACCAATAGCTGGATAGTTTTACCTTTTGAAATTCTTCACGGCTTGTCGACGGCTGCAGTATGGTCAGCGGCTGTTGTCTTTGTGGGACTCATCCCCGGGGCACCCGCAACTATGCAAGGAATACTTGGAGGAGTGCACTGGGGTCTAGGCAATGGTGGGGGAGGGGTAGTTGGGGGATTGTTAATCACTTACGCTGGCGCCACGACCTCCTTTCTCATATTTGGCGTAGTAAGTCTTGTGGATTTAAGCCTATTCGTCTGTCTAAACAATATGGAATGTTTCACTTGTTTTCGATGGTCTAAGGAAGTCAACACTCGGTCAGAGCATTCGTTTCAAGAGGATAGAGTGGATGAAGATGACGACGCTTATTACGATGACTTCTATTAACAGCAGCCTGGACAATGCTGTTCGAGGGATAATACTGACCTTAACATCTGACTACATAAAGGAATTTTAATTTGAGAGTAAACTGTATCCAGAGAACGATAATTCTTACCTGTTGTTGGCTAGCACTTATCTCGAACCAAGATATCACTCTGTCGTTTGCCCGTGGGAGATCTGGGAACCAGATTAGGTCAGCCCTGAGTACTTGACACAAGGAAAGAGAACACGAAGTTGGTGTTGAAACTCTCGCTCTTAGTCCTATATATGTACGCTCTGCAATTGAGTGTTTTGAGTTATTTATTTTTTTGTAATTGATTGAATAGCATTTTTTAATAGGGTAGTTAATTAAAAGAAATCCTTTGTTTACATTGTGCTAAGTAGAATATTGCCAGAATTGGTTGCCATACGTCCTGGTTAAAGGAGCCGTGGGAACATAAACCACCTATTAATAACACTTTTACACCTGAATGTTTTAATTCCTCGCGCGTCGCGGTCTTAGCCAGCTGCAAACTCCCCATATTTCTATTTATTTATGAATCTATACAACGCTTAGTGTCCGCCCAGACGTTATCTAGTGTGTCAAGGAGCATGTGGTGTAATGGTAATGAAACGGCCCGGCACGTACAAGGTCCCGAGTTCGATTACGGACGGAAGCTGTTTTTCTTTTTGTCTTCTTTCCTTTTCTTTTTTCCTTTTTGTTTGTTTGTTTTTTTTTAGTTATTGTAGTTTTGTTTTGTTTTGTTTTATAGATAGCGTAAGTTTTTTAAATATGTAAATCTTCTTCCTACTGTTTGCTTTCATTCCCCCGGAGTGCTACGCGAGGTCCTGCAATTCACGTATTTCTAGTCTACTTCTATTAAAATGATACAAATTTAAAAGAGCAAGCGATAACACACGTACCCCAACCCACGGTCTGGCCAGTACCTCAAGCACGCTCACATTTCCTGAGCCCTATCTTAGGTTCGGTTCATCTTACTTTCGCTTATGGAGATGACTGAACCGAAAGACCTGGGTTCAGGTGGTTTAAATTTACCAGTGTGTTGTTTAAAGTAAAAAAGAAAATTGAAAATAAGGCACCAAAAGAGATAAAAAAAACGTAAAGAAAAACTTCTCTGTGAGCGGGATCCAAAATAATGTTGATAACAATCTGATTTCACTTTGATAGTTACTCCCCGTACTGACTGAGCTAGCGCGGTATCTAAGTATTCATCGTTGAATTCATATCATTGTTTACCTCAAGCATTGTTTACAGAGCCAAAAAAGGCTATTTGTCTGGGACCGGTTGTTCAAAAGTTGGATAGCGCTATCCACAGGATGAATGACCATTAATCGCTATCCAGTGGATAAGTATTACGAAACCCACTTGCGATATTCAGTGGATAAGTGATCTATCCAATGCATGGATAGCATTATCCAACTTTCGAACAACTTGGGTTAGCCATTCAACTCTCTTCTATTCCTTACACCCTTTGAGCTCGTTTCGAATCATGGGAATCAATAATTTTGGCAGTATATCCTGCCCTAAAACAGTCTGCCAGCGAGAAAGAAACGGTAAAGAGAATTTTTGACGTCTAAAGTCACAAATTTAACATTTTACAATACCTGAACGATTTCGTTCGCTGATTGATCGAGAAACATGCGCAATTTGGTTTTCACTTGAACGGAAGTGGTCGCCAAAAATTGTCAATGTTATTGTAAAAAACAAATCGACAACAATTTTCTCTTGCCCAACATGGAAATGACGTCAAAATGTTCAAAACTTTGCAGCGAATCCACTCGCCTTCCACTTGAGTTTTGAACAATTTGACGTCATTTCTATGTTCGATAAGAGTACAGACCATGGAAAATTGTTGTCGATTTGCTAATTTTCCAAATTCTGGAGTCTTGACCGTTTTACAAAGCTGAACTGCGAGGTCGGGCATTCACCGCCAACGGTAGTCTCTGCTTATAAAGCTCCAAGTTCAGTTCTTTAAGCAAGTGGCGTCATCTGAACACCAGAAATCTCACAAACAGTGGGAAAAAACCTTCCCTTTGCGACATTGCAGTACAACTTCACATTCTTAGAGACCCGAGTCGTTAACGTTTGGCAACAAAATCAACTGTCACGCGTACCTCTGCATTTATCCGCAGTCCACCTAGTAGAGAGCTCTTCATTGCAAGATAGAGAAGGGCACTTCACATTAAGACCCGCAGAAGCAAAATTTATATCTTTAGTTTGTTTAATCGCTAATTACTACATTATTTTCATACAAGACGACGAATCTGCTCTGTCCTTAGAAAAGAACAATGAAAACCATTTTTTTGCATAAGATAAGCTTTAACAAGTGCACTACGACACTAACCACCTAAATTTTAACAAAGTCACTTTGCATCCGATTCTTTTATTTTACAATCAACAGCCCTGGTATATGTTTACATTCCCGCGCTTTTTACATTTGCTAAGCACATTTTTAACTAATAGGGAGGAGTAACAAATAACAAGCAAATGGACAGTTAGTTTATCGCCTGAACGACGCCTAGAAAAGCCCACCAGCCTAGTAACGTTTCCCAAAGGTTCGTTGTTGAACTTTGACTACGGTATTTATAGCACCTGAAAAGGTTTAGTCCAATGACGAAAGTTCACGATACCTTCCTACAGGAATTTTTCAGTTACAAAATTTTGCCTTTTGTCCAAATAGTCTCGCATGGGACGTCGCAAAAATAGCTTTCTAATGAAAGGGACATCTTAACGAACTCTCCCAAACAAACTCTCGGCATGAATTTCTTGTAGGTAGGTAAGCACTGTTAAAAAAATCGGCCTCTACGAGGTTCTGTTCCGGAAAAAAAGGTTTTCTGAGAGGTAACAAGGATTCTGAACATCAGAATGTCGAAAGAAAACAGAACAACGTGAAGAAAGTACTGTCGCTCTTTAAAACAGGTAACATAAAACCTTAAAATTATTCAAATGAAAAGAAAAAAGATGTTCTAAACAGACACATAAAAACATGAAATAAGCTGTGTTTTAAAGGGTCTGAAATGCCCCTGCATGGCCTGGTACAAACCTTTTTCAGGAAATAGGTTTGCAAGAGGACCCAAGCTAAAAACAAATTGTTTAATTGACACATCTATATCTGTCACTGAAGCACAGTTAATGAATAACTATGAGCTAAGGTCTAGTTATTAAACCTTGGAGAAGATAAAATAACCTCCGGAATTCTATTCAAAGGTTGGAAACAAGATGAGAATAGTTTCCTTGTAGGAAGAGAGACAAAATTCTTTCCTGTACTGCAGTGTGCGATAAACTAAACACGAAAACTGAAGCGCGCCGACACCCAGCAATCACTCACGCGACCACTGCTGCAGTTTAAAACATGATTTTAAACTTTCTGTAAGTTTATACTTGAAAAGGAAAATTCAATTCTTTGAAAAATCTGTGATATAACTTAGCACTTTATAATTTGCTGCGCAAAATAAAGACTTTTAATATTTTCTTGGCTAGTCCCACTAGAGACTGATAAATAATTACAATCCAAGTCTGGACTATAATTTCTCTCTCTATTGTCACTCACTAAATACACCGGTTGAAGAATCGCCCCGTGTACAAAGGGATCTCTTACGTCCCCTGGACGTCTCACTTGCTTCTCGCCAACGATACGTAAACTTGAGACGAATATGAGCCGCATATCTTGGCCTGTTTTTCGCGGGATGTCTTTTTAGACCGAACCATTAAAGTTTTCGCCTGCATAAAACATTCAGGTCCAGAAAAAAGTAAATAAACTCCATTGTCGCCATAAAACGAAGCCATTTCGAATAAGAGACCACTTAATCATACGAAACCTTTATACCGTCAGTCGAGGAAAAAAGTGCCTTTTCTATCTGAGACGCGTTCAATTAACTGTTGTCCGAAAATGGAATAAATGGAATTAACATATTGAGGCATCCATTTCTCCATGAAACCTCCACAACTGCCTCACATACATTATTCACATATTAGCATGATGTATCTATTATTTCATTCCATAACATTTCTCTGAAAACTGATTCTTATTTTTGATCGATCGAACGCACTCCCAGCTGCCTTTTAACTGTGTTCACTAAATTTACCGGTTGGCAGATATATGGTGTCAGTTACATGCGCAAGAAACGGTGACTTTTTTCCTCGACTGTCTCCAAGGTTCAAAACTAGCCTCTACTGCGGCTGCGCGGCATTAACGTCATCTGAGAGCAAAAGATCTGCAAAGCAGTCATCACCCATGGCCGCCGCCATTGCAGATAGATAACTGGCAGGACCAGGGTTAATTCCCTGGTGAAGACCGCTAAGAAACACGTTACTCAAAGCGAGTTCTGACGCCAGCTGACCAAAGTCGCCCACAATTTCCTGGTTTGCCAAACCGAGGTCAGTATCTAGAACGGTAGAGGCGACAGACTGGGGCGAAGCTGGAGAAGCGGGGGAGCCTGGATACAAGCCACCACCATAAGACATATCTGGAAAACCAGTAACTGGAAACGAGCTTGTTGACGGAGTTTCCTAGGCAACGAAAAAAGAAATTACTACGGAAATTAGACAAGCAAGAGACAGTTATTACTTCTAATACAAAATAAATAGACAAAACATTCAACAACAACAAAAAACACTTACCATGCTACCATCTTGTGATCCCTGGTGCATGGGACTTCTGCCGCCTGGATTACTGAACAGAACAGAAAACAAACAATTCATAAATGTCACCAACAAAAGCATGTCACGACACTACTATCTCCGTCTTTTCCTTCCTCTTTTTTGTTATTGTTATGAACGGAAGACACCTTATGCTCATCAGTTTCCTGCATCTATATAAAGCGAAAACACGACGAGCATACGCAACGACTTGCAGCGACAAAAGTACTAGATCCATAAATTGGATTAAAATTTTCGCTTGTGTAACCATTATAGCAGGTGATTTGAATAGTGTGACACCGACATTGCAAGTACGGTGTATATTGAAAAGTCTAAAGTTATATATTGCCCTGTTCCTGACGTTCTTCATTCATACAGCGGGCCCTTTTTGATTTCTCACCCTTGGCTTATACCGTTATAAACGTGACTAGAAGTTACCGTCGCATACAGGGTACCTACCCGACCAGTCTTAAGGCCAAAACTGCTGGTTGGTATCCTGTGCGTCCTTCGGCGGAAACGTTTTCTATGTAAAGAAAAATGCAACTCCTTTAGAGGGTTCACGCCACTAAGGTCCAACTAATAAATTTCGCATTTCATTCATGGGAGAAAAAAACAAGCTTAGACACAAGTATCAATGCAACCACCTTCAGAAATGACAATGACAACGTGGAGCACATTCTAAAAGTTGTGGTTCTAATTTATCGTCTTTTAAATTTTATTTCCTTTTTGTTTTTGGCTAGGGTAATGTAAGATAACCGAGTTTGAAGCAAAGGAAAACAAAACTTAAACTAATTTAACCCATGCAATTCTTGATCAAAAGGAGAAGTGTCGGCCCGGGGAAAGAACAGGCTGAAATGTCATTGCTTATTACACTCCTATCCGGCATTGTGAACTTTCCACCCTCCCCGATGCCTTGAAACATAACCTACGGCTGGGGTGCGGGGGGGGTTGGGGTTGATGAAAGCCAATTATCTTGCAAACGGATAAATATACTTACCGTCATTGGTGTAGTATTGGCTGAAAGCGGCGTCCTTATCTATGTTTGGATAAAGATAAACTAGCTCCCTTAAGTCTTTGAGCCGGTCAGAAAACTTTCGCATTTGCAAGTGAGCGTTTGTCCAAGGCTCGACATCAAACACCTCACACTGACCTGGAAAACAGAAGAGCTAGTTAAGGATATTCTGACAAGCAAACCTCTCTACCGTTTTCTTACATCCACTATTCAACCTGCATAAGGAAGAAAACAATGGAAGCCAACTTATGTTAAGCTACTGGACCAAGCAGAAGCTATACGGCCTTTGTTGAGCAGATGAAGAGAGGTACGGAGATAAGAGAGGACAAACATCATTGCTCGAGATCATGACTGACATATCTCGGCAAAACTAAAGGGCAGCTATTTTGCTAATTCTGCTCGTCTGATTGGGCTACACTTAATAGGCCAGTTTCGTATTACCAAAACTCATACTTCGCTCGAAGCTAAGGACACGACGCGGCGTTTCAGGTGGAAAACTTAAGTAAAATGATCAGAGGTCAATTTTACAAAAAATTCAGTGTAAATTCGGTGTAACATGTAAATTACACAATTATGTAAAAGCTTCTTTAAATTGACCTCAGGTCTTTTACAAGACAGCGTGATATGTACACCTGAAAAATATGCGCACGCAAAAACTAGCAGGCTAGCACCTTTGGCGGCAATTTCTGCGCGTAACGAGCGTTTCAAATTTCAATTGATAACAACCCTTTTAAAAGCCTTCTGTTGTTGTTTGATTGTTTTAAGTTGAAAGGGAATAAAACAAAAGAAATAAACTATGCAATTTCTTTCGTTTCATAACCCTTAGTATCGGCGCCAAGTATGAATGTTAATAACTCGAATCTGGCCTATCAACTCAGGGTTCTGGTGTATTTATTTCTGTTACGAACATTTATTTGTATTCAAGTAAACACAGGACTCACCAGTCTCAATCATAGAAACATAAGCAACACTGACACCACCCAGCTCACTGTCACTGAAGCGCAGTATAAATGTACCAGGATTACACCCTCTGAGCCTGGCATGTGCTTCCTGTTTGCTGACAAAACCAGCCACGTGCCTACACAGTCAAATAAGTAACTCGTTTAGATTGGTAGGTTTTTTATGGGATCCCTGCTTAAATATATTGTTATACACGGAATCACACGCAAATGAAGAAATAATCCAGTCTTTTAGCATAAGGAATTTGCTTTGTGGATCAGGATTTATGACTCAACGTCACTTGGACAATGGTGCATCAAATGGAACTGACACCCGATCTGGACGAGGATTCGTTGGTTCCCCTGATCAATCACGATCTGAGTCATCTTGGTTCACAAATCCTGATCCCAATAATCCCAAAGGAACGCAACCCAAATGAAGTATCCCTAAACGGACACCACAATGTCCGTATAATTGCATTTTTGAGCTGGTGTTAAGTGAGGTCTCGGAATTAACCACAAGGAAAACAACTTTATAAATGCAGCATAACTTAGAATCAAACCAAACTCATGCTTATTCAAAAGGTTTTAAGCGTTCAAGGAGCAGAGGAAAATAGCAAGTTTTTGAGAAGTATGCAAAATGTGCGTCACATAGTGAGGACCCAAGTTATGAATGATATCAAAGAGGAAAAAATTCTTTATAACCAATAGCCGTTGAGCTTCGGATGTTACTTACCCATCTCTCCATTCGTCCACCAATCGTCTGTAGACTACATCCAAAGCTCCATAATACCACTTCCAAAAAGAGAATGAGCGGCCATTCATGTGATCCTGATAAGCAAAAGCCAAAAGCGAGTTTAGGGCAGAGATAATGCTGCGTAATTTACGCTCCTCTGCTTCAAGCAATAAATAACTTTGTTCCGTGGATATAATTTGCCTTTAAGATGCACTTTATTCCCTCTTCACCTCCACCATAATATATTGCACGTGAAATTTCAAACGTGTAGATAAAAACCATAAACAATGCTCACTCGGTTTAACATTTGCCTTGTCACCATGGCGTTGTCTAATCCTCCCTCCATTTTCCCTGGAGAGAAACGAAAAGCAGCGTTAATGTTTCTCGCACAGTATGTACTTTGTTTACACGAAAGGCTTTACTCCACCAGACATCTGGTGACCCAATCAAAACAAACACCAATCAGAGTTAGACCCTTCTCTTCTGATTGGCCAAATAATTCGCTTGTAGTTCAAATTATTACTTCAGAAATGCTTGGAAGAGTGCTTTCACAAAAACCAGAAACAAAAGCAAAAAGATAGAAGAGTGGGTAATGAATTTTGCGACCTTTCATTAAATAAAAGGAAAGCAGATACGCTGTAGTAATGACCGGAGGGTTTTACCTGGAAAAAGTTTGGTTCCCAAATAAGCAACGCAGTCTGGTGTGAGTTCGCGGCCGTTGCTAAGCACCCATCGTTTGTTCAGAGCATCAGCAAGACGAGGCCACTCAATCTGATCTGGGACATCAAACAACTTCCTTTCCTAAATAAAACAAATTAACTTCATGAAACTACATGGGAGGTAACCCAATAAAGGTTAAATATACAAGTAGAATCTCGCCTAAAACCTTATCAAATTCTTTTGCTTTATTGAAGTGAAGGGAAATTGAAAAGTTTAACGTAACTGATTCAGTAAAAACTGCTTCGCTTAAGCTCCTTCTTAGGTTGCCACTAATGGTAAAATTTGGATTATTAATAATTATTCATTCAAAATATTTCGCCGTTTCTGTTTGGCTCAAAGCCCTCGTCTAATTCTTCATAATAAAACGGTGCCGCTGACCAAATTTGGAAGATGAGAGCAATTTTCCATTGATGGTATATTTATTTGGAAACAAGGTTGATCGATGGTATATTGGATTGGAAACGAGGCCGCATGGGCAATAGACCATTGATCAACCTTGTTTCAAGGCGCAGCTGACTAGCTGTTTATTCACAGTGAACTAAAAAATGGCGTTCACGGCCATCCGAAGACGAAGTAGCTGAATTTCAGGCTAAAACTGCACAGAATAAATGCAAGAATAAGCAAAACATATCGCTCGATGGAAGTTATCTACTTTTTAGATGTATCTGCAAGGAAAAACATCTGTTTACATCCTCAAACCGCGCCGAGAAATACGCCACTATTCTACGATGACGTAAGCTTGTTAAGAACGGAGAAATATTTCGAATGAATAATAAAACAATTATTGAATTCGGCTTTCGTATGATGTGAAGAATTATGCAGATCTCGGAGGATGCTATCCACCTCGGCCTTCAGCTGAGGTGGATAACATCCTTCTCGAGCTGCATAATTCTTCACATCGTACGAAAGCCGAATTCAATAATTGCTAAATAGTTGTACTTGTAAAAATCGGGGCAAAGATCGATGAGTGGAAATTAATTAGTGCCGTTTGTGTCAGGTAACTGTAACCACCCTGTAGCTTTCTCGGATGTTAGTTGGATGTGTTCTGGTATGTGACAAACCTTTTCAGAAAAAGCGTTTTCCCAGAAGATGGTGGCTTCGGCGTCACACTGTTGATTACCGTGCACTGTGACAACTACTGGAACTGACATTACCTGGACACGTACAAAAAGACAAAATATACTGATATATTAGGCGCGGTCAAACTGGACGTCTTCCCAAAGGCTCCCAATGAGGAAATAGCTTGGGTTGGGTTCACTCTGGGTTTTAATAACTTTCATATTTGCGGTCACACAGCAACAAATTACCCAAGGCAAAGAAACAACTTGAACCCATGAGGTTTCGCGGGAACCTCGTTGTAAACATTTAAGGCTGACAGAAATCGTAAGCGGTTTCAGTCCATTCTTTTTAATTTCATCTTTTAATGAAACCACATCAATGTAGCTTAGCAAAAGTGACTCAGACTTTAATTTTAAGACCAAAAACGAATACGCCGACTTCATTCGGGTTAAAAAAAGAAAGGTGAATCTTTCCTCAAAAGTCAAAAGTAAGAGTTTAAAAAATGGCTGCAACGACCTCAGAATTGGGAGTGTTTCAAGGTCCTTTTGAATTTATTAAACCGCGTACCAATTTTCAAAGCAAAATCTGCTGAGTTTTAGAACTTTGAGTGCTGTTTCGCGTAGGACTTGGCGCCAAGGCGAATACAACACGTGAACAACACCTGATTTCTGCTGTTTGGTACATTTCACTTTCTCGTGATTTATTGAGCCGCTTTAGAACTTCATACCTTGGGAAATGTCATGGGTAACTCTTTTGTTCTTTTTGATGTATCTATGGTAATTTCCCCGAGGCAATTTCACCTTGGGGAAATCGTTCACACACAAATAGTTGCTTCCCTATGGGCAACAGCCATTTGCCCATGGGTAAAAGCGCTAGTGTGACCGCACCTATTACACACGACGATGAATTTTGATTATCAGGGGATCGGAGGAACACTGACCACCGTCAGCTTAATCAATCTCAACACGGATTAGACACATGATCCGACCATTTGACAGCTATATTGTTGTAGAGCGCCCTATTAAAGATTTGACATGCACACTATAAAGTTCTTTTGTTGGTATTGCAAAGCAGTCACCACTATCCTCACCCAAATATTAAACTGCTCCTTTCCAAGGGTGATCTGCGTAGTAAAAACAAGCGCCGATTTTTCTTCTGTAACCACTTCTTTGTTCTTGCCCCCTTGTCTTGTTGCTTTGGTTAGTGACTAAATGACAAAAATAACAATTAGAAAAAAAGACCTTTTCTGACAGATTACGTGGCGTATCTCGCGCGACAAATACTAGTCAAGAAGATGAAGAGCCACCTAGTGGATTTGCTGAATAAAGCCATTATTATTATTGTTGTTGTTGTTGTTGTTATTATTATTATTATTATTATTAATAAGAGACAAGCGCGCTTAGCGAGTTACTGAATACGCCACCTCAATATTGTTTAAAAATTAACACAAGCATTACAAATGGCGGGAAAACTTTACTGCCCTGTGATCCCTGAATACGTAGATTTAAAGTAGGATCATGAAGTAGTTTGTATTGGCGTTGACTCTGTCCACACTGAGCCGGATAAATTCTTTGAAATGAAAGGGCTAGCTGTATACAAGTGTCCTCCATCCACACTGGAGTTTTCGAATTTGTGGTCGTCTGTTAAGTGCGAACAGAAAGCCTGACGTATAAAAAAATGCGATTACGATTTTACCCGTAGTAGTAAGCTGAAATATACTTACCAAGTTCTTAAATTCGGCTATGAGTTTGCGCGTGACTTGATTGAACTCCAGCGTCTAGAGACAAAGAAGGATAAAACATTATTAGCAAGACAAGTCAGAAAATCATTGTTTAAAATAAATAAAACCATGTGTTGTTGACCAAAGTACTCGCCTTTTTATGGTTCAGCACGGGATTGGTATTGGCTGACACACTGTTGAAAAAGAAGTCAACTGAATACATGTACAGATAATTTATGATCTTCTCTTGGTGTAAAGTGCAAAGTTAGGTTACTCAATACCGCCTGCCGTGAACTCCGCGGAGTATTCACCATGGGCGCATTAATGAGACTATGAACAGCTTGGTCATTTCACGGCACAGAACAAGTCATGGGGCCTACACGGTTGGATATTATTCCCAGATTAAGTAGCATGAACCCAATCCTGCCCTCCCCACTACCTGATGGGAAACTAGTACATCGTAGGGTTTATCCCGGTAGTACGTCGCCGGTTTCCATTTGCACACGCGTGGATGAAAAGAAAGAAAGAGAAGCAAAATTTCTTGTCTGAGGAAACAACACGCCAGCACGGCTTCCTGGCGGACCGAAGTGTGAGTTGTTAACCGCGCGGCTCAACAAACTTTGCTATAACGGAATCTAGTGAACGTTTTGGCGCGAAAATGACAGACGTCAGTTGGTCAAACACGAGACTTCCCAGTTCTCAAAACAGCTACTTCGTTCAGTCCCATTTTAGCAAACGGCTACAAAGAGGCGCTTAGGTGCAAACTTAAATCTCCTACTTGTAAACAGAAGTCATTTAGTTCATCAAAAACCCAACTTAACAACGTTGGTTGATTTAGTTCAGGAAAAGCAAAAGTTGGAGATTACTAAAAGCTAAGGTGAAATTGATTCTTAGTCTTATTCCACTAAATTTCATATATAAACAGAGTACATGGAGGAGAACATGTTTCATACTCTCTTTAGGAGAAGAAGTTTTTCACGCTTAATGATATTAAAATTGAAATTACCTTTTAGGAGATTTCCCAGTGTAAAAAGCCTGAGCTTGCTTTTCTCTAAATCAGTTTTTAAATACAACAAACATTAGTTTATTTGAGCATACGACATTACGAAAGAGTGGGAAGTGAAGAAGTACTTACGAAAGCAAGGAACAACTGACTTCTGGAGGGTGTACCAATACATTGAGCTTGTCACCAATCAGATGCCTGTTTAAAATGAAACGACTGTAAATATAGGGTGCCTTTAACAGGGAATCAGGATTCAGACCTAGAAATCTAGATTCTTTGGGATCCTTTCAACGAACACAAATCCCGAAAACAGATTTCGCCCCTAGATAAGGGTCCTCATTGGCCCAATAAGGTTTTTCAATCCCGTTATCCCGACCCAAATTTTCGTTCAATCCCGTTATCCCGAGGAGACGGTCGTTATTTTCGGCATCCCGCACCCCGTGCATACTTTCAATCCCGAATCTCGCCATCATTTTGCTTTGAAATCCCGAATCCCGGCCATCAAAGAATGAAATTCCTGGATCCCGAAAAAGCTATTGGGGACCGTGCTATAAAACCGTGCTATATATATCGGTTAACTGAAACACATGTCACAAGAGGATTCCTGTCTGGCAAAATCTGTTGCGTTTAATTTGCTGTTCAGGAAAAACAGTTTTGGTTAAACCTTGCTTGCTGTAAATTAGTGAGACAAATCAGTGCTAATTAGCTGGTATTCTTCCTTTATCACTTGTCAAGACTATCTGATAGTTAACTAATCAATACAACTTCAAAGAAGAAGTAAGTGTAAAAGTCATTTTGTAAGTGCGATAAAAAAACAGCATTGACGTAGTGCTTGGTTTCATACCGAATAACAACACCAAACTTTGTTTCTTTCTTTAAAACTTGAGGAGGCTGTCTCTCTACAATGAATGTCCTATAAACAGGAAAAAAAGAAAACTGCTCAGTACTTTTTATTGCTTGTAATAATGATAGTAAGTATTTAAATCTATATTTAACGTTTAGGATGTGTCACCTCCATTTTACATCTGTACTTACTTGCTTAAAAACCACTGCATCATATTTTTTGCAGAAATCTTTACATTCTCCATCCTTTTAAGTTCAATTTCATTCCCTTGGAATGCTTGGTGGAAAAGGTTGTCAAGCTGATTAAAAGTCATACAACAACAAAGTATAAATACTCTTGTCAAAACCATGCGTCAAGTCTAATTTTCTAATCACCTCAGGTGAGCAAAAATGCCATTATGCACAATGATCACATCTAAAACTCAAAACAGAGGTTCAGGATGCACAGTTTTTCATATTTCTGTACCTTCATCTCTATCACAATAATATTTCCATTGCATATAATTTATAGTCAGCTCATTTTGCAAGGTACAGAAGGAGTTTTGTACATATTGTGCAGCACTATGTACAAGCATACGTACTAACTCACCTTTTACCAATTTATTGTTGGGGTCACTGGAAAAAGGACACGTCTGACAAATTTGGGTGTTTTTTATATGGTAAAAATATGTTTCTTCTCAGAAATGAAAGGCAAACTAATAGAAAAATGCCTGAATATCATTGTCCAGATCTACTACCAATTAGCATGTTAGGTTGAGCAATATTATTGGTAGAGCACTGCACCAGTATCACAGAGGTCAAGGGTTTGAATCCCATACAAGCCGTACTTTTTCAGGCTTTTCTTTTCACAACTGCAAAAGTTGGGTCTATTACTGCGATTAATTAATCCAGAACAAGTCTGTATGTGAAATTTAGGCAATGTTGGAACAATTTCAAATTTCAACTAAATTTTAATTATGTTCAACAAACTATGCATAACCCTTTGACACCAAATCACCATATTATACATGAAATTCACTATAATAGTTAAAGTAGCATAAAATCTTATTATTAATTTTTACTAGTAACTTTTTTTAAGAATGCACCTGTGATGCCTGTTTATACAGCTCCCAAAGAAGCTCTGCAAGTACCTCACATCTGCAAACACACACAATAAGACAGATATGGAGTACTTTTAAAAATGTTGTTTTGACAACATTAAGATTTTGATTAATAACACTTAAAAACAAACAGATTATGTGGCAACATACATTTCTTGAAGTTTGTCAAGAGCTTGTGGGCAAGGAAAGCCACACAGAGACCTCTGCTGCAAATGCCTCCACTCGGCCAATTCTTCAAAAATAGATCTTTCTACCTCTGATAACTTTTTAATGTGATGGCAAACACTCTCTATGAAGCCCTGTGGAAATTAACAAAGACTCAAAATAGGTGCATAATCAGCACCTTGATGTTTATACATGTAGTGTTATGGCAAAACATTTGTCAGCTCCAAAATATGAAAAACTTATCAGAAGGTAATGAGGAAAGTCATTTTATATAGGTAGTTTAGTTATTGGTGGCAATGGTCAAATAGCTGGGGTTTCAATAAACGCCAGTTACAAGTATTCGACTGCTGCCACGGGTATTGGTGCCTTCAGAAAGTTTGTTTATGACAATCATTTTTTATGAACTGTAAGAACAATCACGATTAAAATTACCAGAGCAAAATTGTCTGTAAAATAATCCCTCAATCAAATGGGTCTTGCCTCCCCATTCTACATACTGACCAGCTGGATGAAAATTATTGAAACCCCTGTGTCATGCATCACAGTTTCAATGCATCATATACAGTGTATACCAACTCTCCTGGATTATCTGGGAGTCCCCCGGATAGGACAACTTTTGAAACTTTCTGTTCATTAGGTTCAAATAAAGTCCATTTTCTAAAAAGATTCAAAAATATTTGTCATCACAGTGCTTTTCCTCTGGCATTTTTGCATGTCTTTCATCACTGACATGACAATTTTCAGTTGTCATACAATGTAACAGAAAATTTCAAAAGTTCTCTATTCACATAAGAATTCATAAATTATGTCCTGACCCACCCATGTTATAATTAATGGAGACTGGGTCATTTGTACTTAGGAGGGGACATAGTGGTTGATGTTGGGGGGATACAAAAGAAACAGACCCCAGATTTTAGATCTCCAGAGGTTGGCTCTCTGATGCATGCACAAGTTGCATTGCACTGTTTTTACAATTTATATTAATTTGCTTCATTATTTGAACAAAATGTGACTGTTACCAGTCTCTTGTTTATTGACAGTTCTTCTCCCATCTTGCTTAACTCCTGCTGGAGTCTGTCTGATTCTTGCTTCAGTTTTTCCATCCTTTGTTTCTGAACACATTATAAATTACATGTAAGACATGACTATTATTTTTTTAGGAAAATACAACTAGTGGTCTATGATCAATGCTGCATTTTACTTGGTTGCGCTACTACTAGGCTAGTAGAGAAGTATGGTGCAGCCCTTCGGGAGATGAGATTAGCAATCCAGGCTTAAATTGCACCATGGTATCCTTAAATTGCTTATTTATTACTTGGATTTTTATTTCAGTTGTATATTGGTACGTGCGCGCACGCAATTTAATTTTGGGCATGTGCATTATTTATTTATTTATTTAAGTTGTGTGTACATTTAGTTCGTTTAATAATGTCTTAGTTTTGCTTTGCGTTATTTTCCTCACTAAAAGGTGTTGTCCGCGACTGTGCTCACACGGTGGGTGGCTCCTCCTAAAATGTTCTGCAATTGGTATAGAATTTAATGGAGCCAAAACCAATTGTGGAATTGCATGCATTTTAGGCATCCTACTGATGAACAATAATTGGGACACGTAGATATATTTTTTAGCAACTACTATAATTTGCAGTCTGTCTACTTTGAATTGATATGTTATAGCCCACTAGTTTTGAAAGGCGCGGGCTTTTTGGCGGCAAAAAAGGATTAAAGTCTAGCTTTAACTAGCTAAAAGTTTTTTATTCTCGATATTTTTGACCAACTAGCTGGATTTTACTAAAACAATTATTCCTCTCGCCCTCATGGCCTCTGAGTCAATAGTCCATTCGGGCTCGAGGAATAATTGTTAAATATGTACAGCAAGTTGAGTACTGACATTGGAAAGTTAGCTAGCAAAAACACCTGACAAGGGTATCACAATACTGAAAGGGGGGTTACTCTGACCTTATGTCACATTCTCCTTTGTGTCACAGAAAAGTACAAGGGAGTTTAGAAAGAGAATTAACCGTCAGTTTCTTTCATAACATAACTGTGGCAAATCATCACTGAATCATCCACTGTAAAGTCATAATGACTAACAGATCTTGGAGCAATGTGCATCACCCATGTGTCTTGTAAAACTCTTTGTAAATCTGCATCTTTAAACAATGAGACTGAGCATCCCTATTATACATGTAACACTAACCTTTTCTTTTTCAATCATTTGGGTAGAACTGTTTATTTGGTTTTTCTGTGCATCAATCTGAGCTGTAAAAGAAGTAGAACTTTATGTTATTCATGTAAAACTTATGTAAATACAGTCAAGCCTACAAGACCATACACGCCCAACTCCAAGTAACGGTCAACTTCCCAAAACACCAAACTTTTTCCACTGAATTAATATAGTTAGAACCTCTAATAAATGACCACCTCTGGTATTAGTGACCATGACAAGTTTTAAGGAAGGGGTGGGGTGGGAGTAAATTATGAAACATTTTCAATTGGTATTGACCAGCTCCCACAGGCAACCACTTGATATTGATCTCCTACTGGAGCAAATTGGATAATGCAAGACCACAAGAACCATTTTAATTCTAATGGCCAATGTCAACAGTACAGAAGATAAAAATCTACCACAGCTGTACATAGTTCACTTACCTATTCTTACACTGACTTCCTGAAACTTTATCACATATTGTTCTTTTAGCTGTTCAATCTCTTTAAGAAGCCCATCATTTTTCTAGAAAACAGAATGGTAATTTGATAAAAGACTATGCGTAAAACAAGGCAATGATAATAATGTGCGTTCCAGAAAATTAAAATGGTTTCTTTCTTGGAATGTTATAATCAACTTAATTGGACATCAGTTTATTTCCATTTAAGGCAGTTAAGAAAGCCAAAGGTACAGTCATACCTGGCTTTCCTTAGCAAGCGATTCAAGCTCTTGCCGCAGACCAGCATGGGGATCTGGTGGAGCACTTTCTTCCATATCCATGTCCTCGGAGTCTATAGTTGACAATTTTTCTAAAGGAATCTGAAGATGTAAAATGTTATAAAACATTAATTCTCTTCTAATAAGTATTTAAAAACCTCTATTTGATGTACTTATAATACTAAAGTCATATCACAGGAATTAAAGCCACATCTACAAAATTATGTACATGCGCATGATCTATTCGAGAGGACAGGGCCGATATTATATGTGATGGGGCAATTTCACACAATATATGTATCTCTATTATTTTGTATTCAGACTAAACTACATGTGCATGTATCTCAGGGCTGTCATTAAGAGCCAGGGGCTGGGGATTTCCAACTATGAATACATGTGGCTCTGGCTACTTTCATTGGAAAATAGAAGAAAAATCTAAGGCTAATCTAAGGCCATTTTCACTTTGTCATCATCATGCAGCGAAATCTCTGAATGCCTGAATGCTACAAATTATGATGTGAAATCTACTCGGGAGATATCAATAGTTCAATAGTTTCCAAACATTTTCTGCACCCTATCTAAAGGATTGAGGATAGAGCAACAAGAGGACTGGGAGCTAAACACCAATCATCCCAGATACTACAGTCGACTCCCGGTAACTAAAACCCATTATAACTTGAATCTCCCGTTAATATAACTCAAAGCAATTTTCAATTCCCTTCAGATCGTTTTCTATACACATGTAATTTTACCCTCGATAACTCGAACTCCCAATAACTCGAACTTTTTTCTATTTCCCTTGAAAGTTCGAATTATCAGGAGTCAACTGTATAGTTAAGCTAGGGGGTTCCTAGCCACTTAACATACATGTACTTCCTCATTTAAAAAGCATGTTTTGTTGTTCATTAGTATGGCAAGTGACATTACAGTGCCAGGATAAAATAATAAGCAAAAAGTCCTGTAAATTCCTGAAAGTGCATGAAAATTACATGTATATTGACTACTGCGACTGAATAATAACTTTTTAACTCTTATAAGTCTTTATTCCAACAAATCATTGCAACAAAAATGTAAATTTAACAGTAAACTCTCCCAACATGAACCAGCTAACTCAAGTGATAAAATGTCCCTTGAAATATAGTTCAAGTCATATTGGGATACTACTTTCATTTAAAATGATGCAAGACTCAATACCTACACCCAAAATGAGTTTACTTACAGTTGTTGCACTTATGACTAACTCCCTCAGCTTAGAAACAACTCCATGGAAAAAGTCAAACAGCTTCACTGGATCATTGCCATACTTTGCCTGACAAGTGAAAAACACAGTTCTGTCATGTTTCTTATTGAGGGTCCAATATGTCTTAATAAATTAAATTAAATTGTAAGTGCAGTATGTAGTAATACGTGCATTTACATTCATTAAAAAATTTGACAATTACTGGATAAGGCTTAGTATAGTATGAAGAAGTATGCAGATTGAGAAAGGTGTTAATTCCCAAGGCTCAAGGTTTGAATAATATTTTCCTGAGATACGGTAGACTTATGATTGGGAAGACTTATGTTTGTGGAGATACTTTTGAGCCTCTGCATGGGTATTTCTGATGAAATAACAGTTGTGACAATCTTAGAGATTAAGGCGACTATCGCATTGTCATTTCAATCATGTTTGATAGTGTTAGTCACTCAATGATGGCAAGAAAACCCGCCAAAAAGTGTGCTGTACATTTGGAGTTTTTGTTTTGCCTGTCATTATTGTGGTTGGTTTGTGGTTGTGCAGAGCTCGCTAATAACATAACCACACAAATCAATTCTTAACATACAACGATTTCACCTGAAAAACCTACAATTTGATCAAAAACACACAACGAAATCGACGTCTGCAGGAACCCATTTTTGCTTCTTTTCCTTGTTATTTCACAGATAATTTTTGTTCACTGCAGTGTATTCATAAATGGTAAACAAAACAATGCAAATTACCTCAATTTGTTCTATCACTTCCTGGACCTTTTTTGCCAACAAAACGTTATGAAAATCATTGACTGAAATTGAGGCCAAGCTGTCCAGCTGTAAATTAATGATAAATAGCACTGATCAAAACACTTACAGCCAAATTAGAACTACTCTACTGTAGCCCACAGCAAACTGAGAAGTATGCAAAATCCTGTAGATTTTATCCAGTGTCCTTTGATCTAGCTTTTTAACAGCAATTAAACAAGATTTTTGTAAACCATATTGAGACAAGGCACCTTAACAATCACTGCATAAGCATGCTATCTGAACAACTGCTGTTTTATATCATTATTCTTGAGCTTTGTGCTCCGAGCCTTTATTTCTTCAGATAAACTGAAAAAATCACGTAACAATGTTCTTTTAAAACATGGATGACATTTAGCATTCAATACCCAACAATTATTCACAAATATTAAGAAACAATATTTATTTTAGCATCTACTATCAGAGGGACATAATTTATAGTGCATTCACATTAGAGATGGATTTGCAGGTTTAACTGACTGAAGGCCAAATTAAGCAACCTACAGCATACCCAAAGTAAAACAGTTAACACTCCTTAGCGATGAAAAGTGAAAGCTTCAGCCAACTATGTTTGGAGACCTCAAGATTTCACTTTCCTTGTGCAAACATGGGGCAGATGGAATCAGTATACTGTATTGATAGATACCTTCTTTTTATGTTCATAGAGCTGGGCTATTGTATCATCCATCAGCTGCTTGGCTTTGATAATATTTTCTCCCTCAAGATTATCATTATAAGTTTCTCCCCTAGAGATACAAAATTCTCGTTAAAAAATGGCAAAAAAACTCATTCTACATATTTGTTAATTAAGGAAAGGAGCTTGCGATAACCACTCCAGAAAAGGTAAACAATGCTTTTTTCAATATTGGCACATTGTATTTTCAAGCCTAAAGTAGAACAGAGAAATTGTCAATAAATTTTTAATGAATTAAATCCAGGAATGCTATAAAGTGAAAAAACTGCAAAATCATGTTACAGTTATTAATTCTTTTGACATTAAAATTAATCTTTCTATACTGGTTCTCCCACATGGGCAAGAAACACTGTTGCTAAGGGGTATTCAGGAAGTGGAAAGCTATGATTGTGCTCAGACAACATTACAATTTCCAACTGCATGCAGAGTTATACTCTGTCGCTGACATTATGACGGGGGTGGGGGTGGTCAATTTAAACATAGGTTCCTCTTGGTAGGACTGTGCTGCTGTTCAATGCACAAACAAAAAACAACCAAAATGCAAAAAGTAGGTCATCAAAACCTTTCTAAAACACAACAACTTTTACGACCATTATAAAGACAAGGACACCACAGCAAAACTTAAGTCTTACCATGGTTGCTGATCCAGCCATTGCATCAGATATATGGATGCATCGAATTCAAATGAGCCGCCATAAGTTTGTTGAAGCTCTAAAAGAATGGTATTTTTCTGTTGGACGTCTAACGTCTGAAAGGTCTCCCAACACGACATGCTCGGATCCTCCACGATCCAAAAGCTGGAAACCCTTTTTTGAAATTATCTCTAGTTTTTTATCGGCCGCAAAAGGTAAAAAACAAAAGTATGGTGGTATGAAAAAGGCGTTTTCGCTCGGCCACGCTCCTCATCTGTACGGGGCAAGAGGTAAACAGTTCTGATCGATTTCCTTGCGGTCTTTCGGTTTTTACTGCGAACACCGAGCCTCTTTCCGAGAAATGGCTAACTTCCTTTTCTCAGCGGAAAAGCTCTCACGAACTTACCCGAGTCCAACTTCGGACAAAGTTCGATACTTCCGATACTCTTCGCGTACTCTTCGTACTCACTCGTATTTCGCTGACAGCATCATTGCGTGACATCGGGAACCTGGCTGGAAACGCCGCAACCGCTCTAAACCTCAAATACGTATTTCAAACTGAAAGTTTTTATAATGCTCTCACTTTGAAACAAAACTTATCATTAAAGTCCCGCCAATTATAGGTATTTCGTTGAAATCATGAGTGGGATACTCGTTTTAATGGCTTTGCACGCTGCTATACCTTGTGTGTTATGGTTTGATTGTTTCAGGTGATTTCTAAGAAATGTAAATGTTGTGGAAAACGCGGAAGAAACATTAATTTCCATGAGCTAAGTAGCACTAAAGGTTCAGTGGTTCATGCATATTCTCAGAAGAAACGGAAGAATTAGACATTGTTTTACAAGACGAATAAAAAAAATAACAGATTTTATTCCCCGAATAACGGTGAGATATGTGACAGCCATGAATGATACCGTTGTTGGTAAAAAGAAATATGTGAGGTGCAGAAGTTTTATGATGACGATCGCAGTTATTCTGTATTTAAGTACAGTGAATGAGCGAAAGAAAGTGAATTTTCCTGTTTGTTTTGAAATGGAGCGAGTTATACGAAACATTGGTGAAGACAAAAGTAACAACATTTAAAAACAGCGCTCTGTCAACTCTTGTTTCTTCGAAGAACTGCAGTTGTCTTCCCATATTTCCATGAAACTAACGAATGCATCTTTTCGAAAATTCTGTCACTGAACCAGTGATACTGATAGAGAATGTACTGTTATGACGGAAGTTAGCGTGTTTCGAGTGTTATTATTGAGCAACAATTTAACGCTGGGGTCGTTCCACCCCGATCGACCTGGCGCGTACCAATACAGAGCAGCTAGCAACTACAGTCTCCCAACCACGGGATAAATTCTCAAAATTTTCAGTCGAAAGCCAAACAGAAGAGGAAAATAAGCCATGAGGCTGTTCTTGATGAACAAGGTACTCTATATAAGTGTTTGATAGTCAGTTAGAAAGACTGAGGTCGTGATTCGGCTTTTGTGGAGTGAGGGGTTAGCGGTTGGGCCCGCCGCTACAAATTCGCGCACAAGTTTGCATTGCAAATTTTTGACAATTATGGTATTTTATACTAGATCCTTCACTGATTTGCTGTCCTTTAACGTATTTACATTTTTTAAACGTTACTTCTGGAATCTGTGCCCCTCCTCTTCTTACTAAAAACGTTCCAAATAGGCCATGCTTACTGAATGCTGGCTGACGATCTGTGTGTGCTGCAGGCCGGCCGTACAGAACTGCATATAGTATGTCTTGTATAAAATTCCGCTCTTTTAAGATACCGGCTTGGAACATGTTAAAAGGCAAAAAAATAAATTTGGTGGTGCTACAGAGTTTTGTTATTGAAAATGTATTTTTCTCCTCGATTTTGAACATTATCGAGTAAAGTGGAAGCTCCCGAGTCGGCGCGGTCGTGAGACAGAGCCGGTGCAGTGTTACATTCTTAATTCGCAAAGTCTTCTTTTTCTGGTTTTCGCCTTTTCTAGGCTACATTTGCCAAACACGGACCAAAAACGAACACCGTATTTAGAGGTTCCGTGTTCCTTTGATTAAGAATAAACTACAATCCTGAACTGAACTTTACCCTGAATGTCCTAAATTATAATGGCGTTGGCGGATTTTACCTTCACTTACACGATTAAACCAGCCCTGAAATTTCTTTACTTCAACCAAAAAAAATGCATATTTAGAATCTAAGAATTTTCTTTCATTTTTCTTATCAAAAGCCAAAGAAGCTACCCAATGGATAAGCTAAGTTCTGCGAATTAAACATTTTAATGTGGATAATGGCCGCTCGTGCGTTACGTGTGGTTTGGTCCAATAATTCTCAGCTTAGAAGACACTCCTGTAAATGATTTTTTAAAATACTAAATAACGCAATGAAAAGCTCAAGCGACAAACATTTATCAACACTTCGTGAAAAGAAATTTCTCTCTAAAAGAGGCCTTCTTTTCCACATTTTGTCAAAGACAATATGCATGGCTCTTATTTTAAAGATCGAAAATACCGCGTTACAAAGTGAAAGTAGCTCTCTGATTCGATAGTTAGCAAAAGTCGCAAAAAAATCCTTTGCTTTACAGCCTTTTTGTCGAATAACTTATCGGCTGCGTTTTTCAAGAAACCTTTTGAGTCTTCTCCTTAACAGAAAATAACAAATAAAGTATACACTATATTTATGTTTTGATTACAAATTATGGGCGGCGTTTCAAAAGCGCTCACTAGTTTTTCTCCCTTTTTCGAATTATTAATTTCGTCCTTTTGGTCAGCCGAGTTTATTTACCTGTCTTACGTTCAGGGTTAGTTTATTAATCGACTATTTTATCGGTAAAGTTACGAGTCTTAAACCTGGAGCTTGGCAGAACGAGACTGACCGTATGCATTGCTATGATGGAGATTAGTACATCATGGTGGTTATAAACAAACCAAGGGTTAGGTTCAACATTCCTCTCTCTTTCCTCAGTGAAAAAAGATTTAATTCAATCAGACCTACCCAGAAAAACACCAAAGCACCTAGCTAATATGTACGGCAGTGTTAAAATAATTTAGAGCGAAATGTTTCCATATAAAATGACCTTGGCGAAGCATTCAAGGTGCAAGCTCAGGTTATTATGATCATGCATTTGTGAACACAGATCAAAACTGACATACAAACCTAGCTATTTCAGGAACCTTTGCTCTTCTTCTTTTCTCCTGTAACACGTATAAATATTAACGTTAATAAATATTCTAAAACATAATGCCAAAAATTGGTCTATTGGTCCTAAGGTTTGGATGACTCAGATGTTCTTTGAAATTTTCCTCACTAGGAAGGTGTTGGTGTAGCAATTATGGCTGCTGTAACATCCTTAAGAGGTTGAACTGTGATTGAGAAGTTCCCTTTCCATGTTTTTTTTACAAGCAATCGCAAACTTTAAGTAATACACGTTTTCCCAAACATTTTTAGACTTTCTTTAATTTTGTCTTGATGAAAAGGGGATATGCAATAAGAAGTTCATCCAAGCAATAAGCAACATGGCGAAGGATAATTACAATGCATTTGCACCTAAATCTTTCTTCGTGAGTCGTTCATGATTATATCTTCAATAAAAAAATGCTTGTTACCCATGATTTTAGACATTTTAGATATTCACAGGATCTTTCAGAAAATACATTTTCCCTAAAACCTATTAAACCGTTTGTAGTTCTAAGAACTAGGTCAGTCGTGATTATACTTTATTTAATTTGCAGCAGTTAAGTTCTGTTCCGTTGTAAATAAACTAACATACTCTTTTAGTCTTAAATCATTCCCAGCCATAGAATACTTTTAAAATCTTTTTTTTGTTTTTGTCTGCTCTTTTAGCGATGAATGGGCGATATCATAAATGTTGGACCAAACAACTAACATCGTTTTCTATTTTACTAATAACAGCTTGAAGTTGCTTTCCAAGTGATAGAGTCATTGATCTTCATTAAAATAACGCTATCAAGGGCCTGAAAAGTTGTAATGTTGTCAACAATAACGTAAAAATCAGTTAAGAAGAAAACTTTTAAAGGAACAGAGTGTGTGTGAGTATAGTTTGAAGAAAATTAAACTAACTGCATGTAGAAGCATGAAGAAGGTGGAGACCTCAGTTAGCTCTTGTTCTTTTTCTAAGAATTAGAAATCAGAAATCAACAGGAACAACTTAAAATGAAATTGACTGACCGGAGTACTAAGAAAGCTAAGATTAATGTTTCTGTAAAATTTAAAATTATACCTGAATTGTTTCTTAGAAAATGAATAAAGTACTCATTTCCAGCTGTTAATCAGTCCTAAAGGAATATCAAAATGAGACTTAGCCCAAAAATATGTTGAAAGTAAGATGTCTTCTGCGTTCGACCAATTTGAGATATATTCTGCCAGGAATAAGGTTGGTATTTTAAACTCTTCAGTTTCTCCAGGTTCTCTCAAAATTTTTGATTGTGTAAAGAGCTTTTATACACTTTAAATACTGCAGTGTTTAGTATGGATATCTGTTTCCTATGATCTATTCTATATCAACTTATAGTACACAAGAAGTCAACGGTGATTCGGGTGATAACTTCAAGTTTATAAATATAAAACACAGTTATTCGCCCGTACTTAAAAGTTATACTTTCTTTAGCTATTAAATCGTTTAAACTTGTTCAAAACTCAACTGAGATTAAGTTTTTCTCTCTGTATATATCGATACATCGTTCGCTCTGGTGGGACAACGAAAGACTTACTGCTTGCCATAAAATGAATATAATATTTATTTCTTTATTTTTCGGACGTGTCCTACATCCCCCAAATTTATCTGCTTATGGACCATGTTATATGATTCTAGTTGCTTTTGAAACTAGCTCAGGTGATCACAAATTGGTTACTGAACATGAAGCTCAATAATGCATTATTGAATCAACGGTTGAGTTTTAAAATTAAAGGCGGGTTCATTTTATAGTTACGGACTTAAGATTAAAAAATGCTTAGTTTCATGCACTTCGACATTGTTTTTTATTGTTACTACTGTCATGAGCAACAGAATCATTGTCATGTTAACTGTCGTCATCATCATCATCATCATCATCATCATCATCACTGTTGGTCTGTTGTTCGTATACTATAAGCGCAATACTAAATCGACGTTTTTTCAAGACATTTCTTCTTCAAAGAGTGTGCAACGTCTTGTTCAGTTTTTTTGGTTACATGTTAGCTGTCAACCTTCATGAAGCTTACTTTTCATCCACGTTGAAATTGTTCGTAAAACCTGATTACCGCTTTTTTCCATGTTCCTCATTAGAAACAACATCGTCGTCGTCATCATCGTCATCAATGTTATTGTACAGTCATCACTTCCATGAGTAACCATGATTTGTTGTTTTAGTAACCATAGGCCACGCCAATCACAGCTCAGAGTCTTGTCGATAGATATTTGGATCCATTAGATAGTAGGAAGTAAAACATTTTGCTTTTTTTTGCCATTATAAATAAATAAGCTTGGGCTAAACTCTTTCCCTTAGCATTTGACGAGCATGTTTGATAGTTTCTGTAGATTTTAAGGAAAAATCTGCTTGTATTGCATGTTACTAAAAATGTTTCAATTGATACTGAAAGTAAGGCTTGAAAACTTTTACTGTTTGTAGCGATCATCTTATCATGCAAATCAAGTTTCGATCGTCAAAAGTAACATTGTCTTGACAAACGTTATCCATTTTTGCTTTTGTTAAGTTCTTCGGAGGCTTTTTATATCTTAATATAATAAGTGAGAGATGATTTCTCTATTAATATTCTTGTTGTTTCTATAGCATAAGTAGAAATCACGGCCATCATCATCATCATCATCATCAACAACAACAACAACAACAGCGTAACAACAACAAAAACAGCAAAATCGTCGTTATTGTCATCCTTTGTATCAGCAAATTACCAGCTTTCTTAGACTAAATATTCTTCAGAGGATATAATGTCACAAATTTCAGTATTCAGGCAAAACAATCATTTTCATCACCATTATCATGGTAGTCGTCTTGCTGAATACTTTCAAAAGACAACCCGCAACTTAACTCATCTCTATACTGACAAAAAAACAACATCGTGTACTTTAAAAAATCCGTTTTCTGTTCTGGTAAGATTATATGAGCTATCAGATGATCTGAAAAAAAATAACAAGACACCTCTTCCTTTAATGTTCAAGTATAGTAGAAAGGCTAAGACAGAACAAATACTCGAGCTCCTTCTCTTTTTTGACGTATTGAAAATTCTTATTAAAAACTTGTTAGAGACAAGAAAGCAAACGTCTTTTATTTGCCGGCCACATCGTTAAGTAGCTTATCTACATCTTCAGACACTGATCAATTTAGTTCCCCTTCCGCAGGCTTTTCATTTTACAAAATACATTAATGTAATACTGAAAGCAAGCTTTGAGAAATAGGATTCTTCCCTGCCATTAGGATTTATTTATCCAGTCTTTGAGCATGATGAACATTCCATTAGAAGTCAAGAAATTACTAAGCGTCGTGGCGAAGTTCAGCTAACGAAAAGAAAAAAACAAGTACAGTACAAATCAACGTTAGCCTGAGTAGTTCTCGGATGCATGATCATAAAATCAGCAACGATTGCAGTAGAAATAAACTTTCTTTTCTTGTTTTCTATGATTTTATACATCTTATACATTTACTTAGTAAGGGAACTGAGTATTGTCAAATTTTTTATAATTATAACCTTTCCGTGAAACTCACAAGCAGCCTCTAAATTTCAAGAACCAAACTCAGTGGTTACCTACGATAATTTGCAGCAAATTTCACATATTGTATTCTCTGTATTCTAATTAGACATGGTAACTTTTACATTTTGCCACATGTTTTAACACTTAAATCAATTGTTTTCTTTCTTTGCACTTAATTTGAAGATTACTGGTCTCTACTTTTCACTTGCTACAATCAGGATTCAAACCGTTATATATTGTAACATTTCAAGTCTTGAATCTGTCATTAAGGAAGACACAGTTCTAAATTAAAGTTTGTTGTATGGAAATGGTGTCTGTTTCGTCCACCATAAATGTCGTCCGTTTATCGCGATTAATTTGTTCTATTTCTAAGAATCTTAGGCGAATAACCGAAGGTCGACTAACCACATTACCAAACAAAGTTAAGATAGTTACTTGATGTAAGGGTGGCAATTATGTCATGTCTTCATTATTTTTTAGAAAATGAATCAAATGCGCACCTCCAACTATAGTCATTCCTAAAGCCGAGCATGAAGCTCATAAAGATCTTGACATGTAAGATGTCTCATTTTTTGTGCTCGTCAGCAGTACAATGTAACGTTGAGTTTCTTTCCTCATAAACAATATTGTCTTCAAGAAATGTATTCCAGTTTGATATTGGGTACCCTAATTAGTATCAAGGCGTATCGTTTTTGAATAGTTATCGAAATTTTAAATCCCGTTTCTTGAATTTTATAACATTTTAGGCTTTTTTACATGTAATTTTTGTTTTTTAGGTGTTTTTTAAGTTTTGTGTTTAACGCTTTTATTGTATTTTATTCTTTTATAATTTAAAATTCGAACTGTAACGGTAGTTTTTAAGACGCAGGGCCTCAGTGGAGACCAGTTTCCAAGCTGAATGGGCCAGCGTGTTTTTTACTCCTCATCCTCCTCCTCTTCATCATTATCATCATCATCAACATCATCATAATGAACAACAACAACAACATCGACGACTACATCTTTAACTTTACCTTTTACATAATTAAATCACTAGCATTATATATCCTCCTGATGATGTGTAATCGTGCAGTCTCATCCAGAATCAGTATCATTCGTTATAAACAATCAATAAAAACCTAACTTAAGGCGCGGAAACGCTAATAACTGCCAAAAATACTCCATTCCCTTAGTTCCAAAAAAATCCTTACGTACTGTTGTAACAAGGTTATTTTTGCGATAGAGACAAATGCAATGAAACAGGAAGTCACGGCTCAGTACCAGTTGTACTAAAATAGAAAAGGAACTTATCCGGTTTGTTCCGGTGCTGGGCATCAAAAAATTAATTAAAGGTTCCAACTAAAATAGGAAATAGTAGAAAAAGGAAGGAAGTAGGGATGGAACTTACCCAGTATTGTTCCGTGGCAGTAAAAGATTATTTAAGTTAAGGTTCTGACTACAACGGATGCCTTCCCAGGACTTACATTTACGTCTCTTTGTCTTTTTCCAACGAATTAAATGAAGAGATGACAGAAAACTCTCTTTATATTGCCCCTCACATCGATAAGAAACCTTCATTTAGTTAATAAACAAGGACATTTTTTTTAAATAGTTGAATTTTATGTGTATTCATTCAGCAGGTCTGCTACATCAGCCTATGCTACCTTTAATACAACCTCAGTCCATCAAATGAAACAGGTATGTGTCTATGTACTTGGTATATAAAATGAATGAAGGTGATTTATCCTCTTTTGATAAAACCCAACACTAAAAGAACATTTAGATATTGGTCTTACACACTCATTTAGCTCTCCACTGTCTCCTTCGCTGTCAAGGATAACTTTTTATGGACACAATTTTTCCAAGTTATTAGAGAGTCATTTAACTGTCTAAGCTATGGCCCTTTTCAAACTACAACATTTCTCTACAAGTTATCGGATGAAAATATGAGAGATTTTTAGTGACCTTGCTGCAAATTTAACCTTTTTTATATTTTGGAAAACTGTTTTTTCTTTCGCTCAGTACAGTGGTAGTTGTTATGCACTAGAAAGGTTGGTTATATAAAGGTTCCAATTTTCTTCATTTCTTCTCTTACCCTTATCTTTACTCTACTCTTCCCCCCGCCCCCCCCCACTCTGTCGTTGTTTTTTTCCTGCTGCTACTTGTGCACCGTTCCCACTATCTAGATTTCAACCCCCGAGCAACTCGGCTCCGTCTTCAGGTCCCTTTTCCGCCAATGGGGAAATACAGATTTCGGGAAAGTAAACGCATGCATGTGCGGAAAAGGGATACTCCATTCAAAAACAACAATGTCTATATAAACGTATTATGGGCGTGAGTAAGGGATTGACTTCAGGGATGTCGAGGTAACCAACAACCTTTAACTCTTCCCTTTCCTTTTACAGCGTCAGTAATGTTTTCAGAATATAACTGAAATCCAGGCAGTTGAGAAGTGCTAAAGCCGAGTAGGGACATCAGACTTCAGTTCGGACTCGGATTAGAACGTTGGACTTCGAATATCAGAAAACGGACATTGGACAACGGAGATAGGACATGGGAAATCGCACGTGGGACATCGGCCTTCATACCTTAGACTTCAGTCTTCGGACTTCAGACTTGAACGATAGATTTCAGATTTCAATCCTTAACGCCATGTTGAAGAACAACTATCACGGCGTTAGTAAAACCTTGAATGGAGTCGCCCCTAACTAATGATGTGACAATTTATCAAATTTTCGTTATCCTCAGAGGTTTTGTATGACCCGAAACTTTATTTTCCAGTGTAACAAAATCTTAAAAGGATTAATAACCACCTCATCATGGGCGAAAGAATAGTTGCTCGACCGCGAACAGACTTTGCTTTCAGTGTTATCTTACAGATCTGCCGGGTTACTGACACTACTCAGCTCTGAGATACAAACTATAATCACAAGAGTGTTATGATACCAAGAATTTCTATGACCAATAAAAATCTCTTGCTCCCTTTTATACAATTCCTTATTATAAAGCCGATAATAACTATAATAAAGCCGATAATTAAAATAAAGGCCAAATATCATCCCTCACAGGGGGATGAGGCCTCACTTTGGTATCGGACAAATTTGTTTAGAAACAAAAATTTCGAAACAATTCCATTACACTGCTAAATAGACACCAAAACCGCTTTTTTTCTAACAATAACATTGCTTTTATTTAACATTAACTTACCGAGGAACTCTATAACACCCCTGTAGAAGTAATGTACCTGGGACCATTAAGCTTAGAAACGCTAAAAAAAGTCAGAAACTAAAACAACAAAATGGGTTGGGCCGCTCATCAGTTGTACATTGTTAAAATCAGGGAGCGAATTCTTGGTTTGCAACCACGTGACAAGGCGGCCATGTTGGGGGTCAAAACAAAAGAATATTTCCTCGAAGAATTTACGTGAAAATAGAGTTTAGTTCCCAAAGGAGAGAAATGCTTTTGTTCTCGACCACCAACGTGGCCGCCGTGACGTCACGTGCAAACCAGCAATAGGCCATATATGAAGTACACATTTATAATGCTTGCAAACATAATCCAAGAAAACAAAGCTGTGATACCGTTCTGGCAGCATATGTGAATGCAATGTTATTAAAGAGGCAGCATAAAAAAAACCGAACAAACAAACTGAGGGCAAGCAAACGAAAACGTTCAGAAAGATAGTACAGTTGTCGTCTGCCTCTGAAAAAGCTGACTAAACTATAGGGAGCGGTATAACTGATTCCCGAGTCAGGGTAAAGACAGTTTTAGCTGAGGCAGAAGTAATTGATCCTTCAATAGCTCGAAGTACCTCAGCCAGTAGGTGGGGCTCTTTCCTCGGGTAAAAATAATCTGCATGTTAACCCCCGGATAAACCGCGCAAATAGGTTTCTTCAAAAAGTCTCAGAGCAAAACGCTGACTAGGGCCAACCAAAGCTCCTTCCAACAACTTGATAGAAGTCTTCATTTAATGGTCTGTAGAAGTCACGCAACAGGGTTACCACGTCTTCATTTACCGGAGGGTGGGGCCGTCCCTTTGACTCCGACAAGCACCCGGTGTGAACCCCTTCCTTTTCCTTCTTATTTGCCGAAACAAGACACAAAAACCCCTTAGTTTCGTTGTAATAGAATAAGTCATCATCGATAAACGGTTTCAAGTTCAAGAAATTCTCTGCAATCTGCATTTCATTGACAGGATTCTTCACCAGTTCTTCCCCGTTAATAAAGTGAATCTGCTCGAGAGGGAAATACCGCAGCCATCTTTTCAAATGGTCAACGTAAATACCAGTCGTAATTAGTGGGGTACTTTTCCGAAGTATCCGGTGCTGAGAATTTTCCGTCACGTAATCCTCAAACGGTCTCAACGTACCATTGGATTTCTCAAGCAACTGAGCGTAATCTGAAATAGCTCGAACGGTAGGATCACGGACTACTACTAATAGTTTAATGGAAGACGACATATTAAAAACTAACTCGGGCGCGTCATCTGTTACGAAGTACGCAGGAGTTTTTTCAATTGTGATTTGATTCGGTAAGGAAGGCGGCATTTGCTCTCTGTACCATTCAAGCCCAAGAACATAGTTTTCCCTGCGATCAAAGAAGTGCACCTCTCGAGGACACACTTTAACACCAGGGTGACGGGACAGAAAATCAAGCACGGCTCTCGTGCCTCCCTTCCTTATTCCAATGACAAGAGCGTTGGGAAGGCGTCGTTTCAATTCTCTTTCATTTTCTGCGTCAATATAGGTTATTTCCTCTATGCCTCGTGTCTCTTTATTTTCCCAGGAATGCGAGGTCGTTTTAGTGTATCGATGGTGTGTTTTTGTTTGGTAGCTAGGCGTCCTCGCAGTGGCAACGAAAGTCAGCGGTACGTTTTCAGAGAGGGACTGACGTTGATTGTAAATGAGGCAGCATAAGGTTCCTATTGTAAGCAAACAACACGTGAACCAAAGGTGCCTTTGAAGATACTTTTTCCTCATCATATGTTTGGGATTCTTGGCGTGGACTTCTCTCTTCTCAGCGGTTGTTAGACCCGGTCCTCTGATCTCCTGTAAAATTGAAAATAGTGTCATCATTTCATAGTCATATTACCCGGCTCCCCCTTATATATATTCAGTGTATAAATTTGTTAGTAGCAAATCTCGCTTGTGGGATTTTTTTCCCCATATTCTCCGCTTAAAAAATTAGGAATAAAAATAGTACCTTTTATTTTCAACAATATCTAAAAGTTAAAGTGAGATTATTTTGATGAAGCGAGTGGCTCAGTAGAAACACCGAAAGGGTAGGGTACTTACCATTTACATGGAAAACTGACCGGAAATTCCAGTTAGAAAATCAAATGGTTAGCGCCATTCCGATTGGGACGCTTCAGAAAACGTGGGCTGATATTTTAGGCGCAATGCAATTTTTCCAGTCTTCTTAGTCAGTTTTCAGCTGATTTGGATAGTACTTTGTGGCGGGTTGTTCTCCCACCTCGTCAAATTTTACAGTTTTATGTTTTATGCCCAAGATTTCCACCCGGGTGGTTTGTGGAAATGGAAAGAACCCCAGGACTGTCTCTTGTTTGGACAAGGCATTTTTTTTTTGAAGCTCCTCCTTTTCTTCCTCTTTTACTTTCAAGCAATATTCACTAAGTTATTTGAATTAATTTAGCTTTCAAGAGTCAAGGCTTTCCAACCGGGTTGCTCTAAAAAATACCTACTAATTATAACCCGGCTCCAAACCTTAAGAGTTGGTTAAACCGAAACAAACAGTGAAACAAAACGCTAATATGGCTTTGTTCTAGGAAGTTGCCCAAACATGGTCACAGCTTGAAAACCTTCTCAAAACCTTATCTCCGGTAACAACAAGAAAAGAAAGGAAAACATACCAAGCTGAACAAAACTGGCCAGCAAAAACACACTTTAGTACTGATGCTAATTTAGTGATAAAAATACACCGCTGGCGATTAATGAACTGCATACTAATCAGCTTAATTTAATAGCCTTATTTGTAATGTTTCGAAATATGAACACATCACTCCTGTATAACTAAAAGAAATTTACCCTGGCTTCTCGTTAAAAAAAAACCTGTACTATTCGGGGGATGAGGATAAGTCTGACGCGCTAGAAGACAAGTAGCGAATCTTTAACTATTATTTTTGGTATACAATTTTTACTGTAGAAGCTGTTCTGACAGGAGCAATATTAATCAATGTTTTGAAACTATGCGAAATCTCTTTTGGCATCTGTTAAGAGATTGCTAAAAGTTATCCGATTTTAAATGAATTTCTAAATCAACTGGGATAATTAAAGTATTTCTTGTAATTCAATTTTAAACTTACATTCTTCGTGGGCATCATTTAAGTTACTAGATTAGATTATTTATTATATAGCAGTTTTTAAGAGCCTGAATGGGGGATGTGCTTAACAAAGTATAATTATGATTTTTCTTTAAGACATTTGGTTTGAATTTATTAAGTACGAAAACTAATAAAATAACTTTTCAAATCGTAGCCATTTTAGTATGCAGTATATTTCAGATATAAAAAAAAAATACAGTATACGTCAAATTAAAAACAATTTCCTACCTTCAGTTGCAAAATATTCTTCAAATACCAAAAAGGATTCTTCTTCATAAATTTTAAAACACGGATCCGATCTTCCTCACTCAAACTGTATACTTGTTTTCCAAGGAAATTCCCTTCTATATATTTAAAGACTTCGAAGTCCAAAAAGAAAAAAATCAAAGTAGTCGGACTCTTGAATGCTGCCTGGAGAAGGCAATCAATTTAAGATCATAAGGGTTTAAAGTCTTGCGTCTTCCAGCAGGAAGGGAATATGACCTTCCTGTCTAAAGTAGTGTGGTTAATACAAGGGGTCGTGCACTTATCATTTAGTTAATACCAAAAAAAGATAATTATAATAAAAATGCCTGTCGAAACTCTTCATTGCCATGGGACTAGCTTCTCTTTATAAATGATCTTTGTTATTATTCTTTTTAATCAAGTTGTTTGTTTCAGCCGTGTACGTTTCTACGGCTTATTTCCCGTTAATAAGAATATGCATCTGTAATTTCTTTGTACATTCTATTGAGGTTAAAGCCATGCAGGCTTGAAAAAAGCTAATCGACATACAATACGAAAAGATCGTTCAACGTTCCTTTTCATGAGTTTTTTGCCTTCTCCTCGGGGAAATGACTTGAAAATCTTGGAAACAAGGAAAAATGAATGGCCGAAATCGGCTAAATCCACAGAGGGGGATCTTTTACAATTACACTCTTTTCAGTCATCTAAAGGAAGTATAAAACAATATGTTAAAAACGAGGCCTGTTGACTTGCTCGAGCTCTGCGCAAGACGTGAAGATTACCATAGATACAGGATTAGCATCGACTACGGCAACGGCAGCGAAAGCGTCACTTTTAAAATGAATTCGCGTTTTTTCAAACTTTGTCGGGTTTAATTCCAATTTGTTGAAAATGGCAAATGTAGGCGAATTTCCCTGGAGTCGATTTCTTGAGGACCACTCTCAAGTTTAGAGAGAGAAAAAGGAGTTCGTCGTCGCTTGTTTACGTCCTCCATAAAACTTGCAGTTAGGCATTTTCACGTCGTAGTCGTGCAAGGACTGTAAAGAAATGCACAAAAAAGCTTGATCCACGTGCAAAGTTGTTGTTTTGCGTAACAAACCTATTCCTTTTTTGACGTCCTCGTTGCCGTCGCCGTCGTCGTTGCTAAAACTTCCAGCGCGGTGACGCGGTCATTCACAACTTAGAAACAAGTGTATACTACTGAGTGGTCGAAAAAATAAGAATCTTAATTAGCAAAACTGCAATGGTCGGGTGTTGTAAACTTTCATTGTATGCAGATGGTCTTGTGATGAGTTTGAGGTTTATTTTCGGCGTTGATTGAAATGACATGCCATGTAATTCACTTTTTTGATCTCTGGCAATGATGTAATTTATCTTGAATCGAGGTCCTTGAATTTTCGTGCATCTATACACGCGTATAGCCTGCGAGCGCAGACGTATTTCCAGTCGTCGCTAAGACGCGTACTAAATCAATTCAGAAATAAAGTAGGAAGTAAAAAACCTTTAGCGAGTAAATCCTGTTTCGTGTAGAATTAATCGCCTCCTCATTTCTCGATCTAATCTCGAAGCAAGTGAGACTGAACGCCGCTGTAAGAGCGTTCTTGTTTAGTCATAAACAGTAGTCACGTTTACGGCTAATGGCAAGCGTCAGATTCGAGTTGAGAATTTCTCAAAAGAGTAAATGATCAGATGAAAACTGTGCAAACTAATTGTTATAAATTAAACTAGCATGACACTACTAATTTTTTGTAGAAGTAATTAACAGTAAAAGGGAAATGCCAGAGAAAACTTGGTCACGTAGTGCAAATTCACATTTGCCCGTAAACGTAGCCCTGAATCTCTCTGTTTATAGCTAACGATCAGGTGAACGATTAGGTTCTTGTCGAAGACTGTAGGCAAATCGCTTGCACCTCGCATGCGCCCTCAAATCGCGTGGACGCAGGTTTAGGCTCGCCCGGAATGGTGAGAATAAAACATAGGCCGTCCTGGCATATGAAGGTGGCTCGATACAGTTTTCAGGGTCAATACCAAGTCTGAACATTTGTATTAAGATGAAAATTTGTCATCACAAATGGTAACGGTTGATATTTTGGAATGAAGATTTTATTATTAGAAATACTAATCTGCGTGTGCTGTTGAGTTAAAGTTGCACGTGGGAGGTTGCTAAGCACGAAAGAACCGTAAGAGTCGCACAAGGCAAAAGCGGAGTGTGACTCTAGCTTCTTAAGTGCTTAACTCCCCAAGTCAGGCAACTATAACTCAACAGTACACGTTGAGCCGTTTACCATTTGTTTTACTAACATAATCAAAAGAGAACAACTTTTAATTTTACTCACAGATAGCAGGGCCAAGTGACGTTAGTGCTGTAATCTGCTCGCGCTATGGCGTGTACAAATCATTTTTGGCAAATTCTTTTCGAAAGAATCTTTTTGCTGAATAACTTTTTCTCCGTCTCAATTTTACGTTATCGTTAATGATCTTCGTAAACTTTCTTTCAGTATTAAGAGAAACATTTTTCAAACCATAGATAAGATGAAGACTTTATTTCCGAGGGTTGACACTAAATAGCCAGAGCTAATAAATCGATGATAAACTTGTGGCCCTCTTACCATGAGGTAAAATTGATATTCAAAGTGGACAGACTGCAAATTATCATAGTTGTTAAAAAATATATGGTTTCGGCTCTTAACCTACCGTAAAATTCCGAAAATAAGCCCCTCCATGTATAATCCCCTCCAAATAAAAACCCCAAACTCGTAACCCCAAAAAACCCTCTGTTAAATCGCCCCTCCAAATATAAGCCGACCCCGGGGGCTTGTTCTTGGAAATTGCCCTCAAAATACAAAGTAAAACAAAGCAAAAACAGTAAATTTCTTTCAATTATAAGGCTAGTCCAATCGATTTTAAAACGCAAATTTCCCTCCTCGAAGCCCCTCCGAATATAAGCCCCCTCCAAAAATAAGCCTCTCAAAAAGGGCCTTTGAAAAACATAGGCCCCGGGGCTTATTTTCGGAATTGTATGGTTTACCAATTGCAGAACATTTTAGAAGGAGCCACCCACAGAAAAAAGTAGAAAGTGGCGCGTACGGCTTTGAGCTCTGGCTTTTCTCACCATTCAGCCAAGGGTAAAAATAGTAAATGAATAATTGGCCAATCACATCCTCGGAGACCCAGAGGCAGATAGTGGGGGCGAGGGAAAGTCTAAACGGGCGGCAAAATATGGCACGCTTCTCGCCGTTCTTTACTTTTCTTCGTGCCATATTTTCCCGCCCGTTTAGACTTTCCCTCGCCCCCACTATCTCGTTGGCTATACCATCATGCTTTGCTTCCATAAGGACACTTCCAACGCTGACCAAATACATCAAGGGCTCGAAAGCTGGCGATCGTCTCGTATTTCCTGCGAAACTGTGCAAACACTTTCCGCCAATTTCCGGTGAGCTGAGGATGGAGTCTTCATAGTGTTCGAGGGATGGAGGTATGATTTGATCTTGGCGTTTACTTGTAAATTATAATACATACATCCAAATAACTTTTGGTGTGATGTTCGCAATTTATACATGTATGTTCGGGGCAGTGGTTCGGCTGGCTCGGATCCATGTGAGCTGATCTTCTCATTTTACTAAAGGTCAAGGAGTGTTAATGTAAAATTCGCAAGCTTTGTAAAGAATCGTATCAAGAGTATTTATTGTGCGCGCGTTGTTGAAGAAGAGCCAGCCACTCTGGACCATTCAGATCTATCTCGATAGAAGCTGAAGCCTTTAACGATCAACGATCCCCACGCATAGCACGTCTGCGGAATTGGTATGCATGCATGTACATACATACATAAATACATACATGCTTTATTTTTGATATAGCAGGTTGGATGTAAAGCGCATTTATATGAATCACGAATGTTTGCTCTCGACAAGCCTCACTGTCAGCTGCGAAACAGTAATGTATGTATTGTTTCTATAGGTTTAAGCAAATTCAGTCATCGTCGAACCCAAAAACAAAGGGCAATCTGCGAGGAAAAAATTCAGTGAAAGGGAACTACACGCTCCCTGTAATTAGCAGGTAAAAGAGTCTTGCAGTAATGCGGTTATAAAAAAGCAAGGCTTGTAGGGGAATTTTGATCCCATGAAAATGTGTTTTGCAATAAAAGTGCAAGTAATGAGATCAGAGGCTGTCAGCATATTAGGTTTTCCTCCTTTTTCTAAATGTTTTGCTTGCCTCTTAGGGGCCGTCCACATATTCACTTTTTCCTCGCTTAACGTCTACTGGACTTTGTCAACTGTGCTTTGTCTTACATTTAACATCCTTTTACCCACAGAGGTTTTCCATGAGCCTGTATTCTAGCGACAAATCATGCCTCCTGCTTTTTCATTGCTACGGTTTGTGAAAATTAACTTGTATGATGTGGCATCCACCTTGCAAGATTACAAAGCTTTCTGCAATTGCTGCACTTGCGTCAGTTTTGTCCAGCTTGTTTGTGTACTACATTACATTTTATGCCAGCAAAGGAAGGACAATTCCAGAAAACAATTTCACCAATGGTATTTCAAACAACACTGGAAACCTGGAAAAGCGTTTACCAAAGGCAATTATCATTGGTTCAGCCAAATCAGGCACAAGGGCATTGCTTGTTTTCCTTAAAATACATCCTGATGTCAGGGCATGCCCATACGAGGTGCACTTCTTTGATCGAGATGAAAACTATGCACTCGGGTTGGAATGGTACAGAAAAAGAATGCCTAAGTCAACTTCTAATCAGGTCACCATAGAAAAGTCTCCAGGTTACTTTGTATCAACCAATGCCCCAGAGCGTGTGTTTAATATGTCAAAAGATGTTAAACTCTTGGTGATTGTCCGTGATCCAACGCAAAGAGCTATATCAGACTATACACAGTTAGCACTTCGGCCAAACAGTTCTCTTCCAAGGTTTGAAGACTATGTTATGAGGAACAATAACATTTTAAGCACAGAGAGGGGTGTGGTCAAATTTGGAGTTTACATTAGGTACCTGTGGAATTGGATGAAGTTTTTCCCACTTTCACAGATCCATTTTGTGAGTGGTGAGGAGCTTGTCGAAAATCCAACAGCAGAACTGAAACTTGTGGAGAGATTTCTGACCCTGAGACCAGTGATCAATGAAAATAATTTCTACTTTGACAAGAAGAAGGGTTTTCCTTGTTTTATTGGAAAAATAGGTTTTGATGGCAAGACAAAGTCAGGCTGTTTAAAAGGCAGCAAAGGGAGAAAGCATACTCCTGTCAGCCAACATATTTTAACTCGATTGCATAACTACTACCAGCCTTACAATGAAGAGCTTTACAAAGTTGTAAAACGAAATTTTCATTGGCCACGATCATCATAACAGCAAGCATTATTTACTAAGGGTGGCTTATTATGTTATTTTACCTATAAATTTTTATTATTGTTGACCTGCCACTGGGACGCTCGTTAAAAGCTGTCACCAATGGTGAGGATGTGAGGGTGAAATGGGTTGATTTGGGGTGAGTATGTGCTGCGTAGGCCTTCAAACAATTTCCTTACAAATGATATATATTTAATAGTCCAAGTTTTACTGTTATGTAAATATTTCACTACTCATATTCTAAAATATCATTGGAAGTTACATTTTGGTGTGGTGATCCTGTTGGGCAGTACCTACATGTATAAGGATTTTGAGAAGTACCCTGCCCCCACCAAAACCCTTAGTATTTGGTTAACACTGCAGTAACTATATTCACAGAAACCTGCTTGATAGCTTTCTCACTTTTTTTTTATAAAGGTACATGCAAGGCTGACCAAAACAAATGTTATTTTCTTTGCCTTTGCCCCAAAATATATATTAAATAAGAATTGCTCATAACTCTGAAATGGTGCCAGTTAAAACAATAGTGTTATATACATAATGAGAAAAATAATATTCAAGGCTATGTTTTGGATGTATGAAAGGAGAAAAAGAATAATATGCGAGGCTGTTTGATATCTAAAAAGGAGAAAAAGAATAATATGCAAGACTGTTAAGATATATGGAAAGGACAAAAAGAATAATTTGTAAGACTGTTAAGATAAATGAAAAGGACAAAAAGAATAATATGCAAGGCTGTTAAGATATATGAAAAGGACAACGAGAATAATATGTGCGGCTGTTTGGATATATGAAAAGAATGGAAAGAACTGCAAAAAGTAAAGTATTGAATTCATGACCAACTGGGCATGGAGTTTATAAATTATCTCCTTACACCTACAGAATGTGTTCTCTATATTGTACTGCGATATCTCCCTCCAGTTAATAATGGCAATCTCTTAGACTGAACATTTTATCTCAATATTATTATGTTACAGCAGATGATAAAGTGACTGTATTGTAAGAGTAGAAAACTTTGTGGACTGAAAATTTCACTTTTGGTTATTACCAAAGTTGGTGATTTTATGGTGGATGAAACAGCACTATAGTGATGATATGAACTTTGAGCAACTTTTTCATCCTTTATGATGACTGTAGTCTCAGTCTTTTTGATGGACAACTATATATATGGTTAACTTATTTAAACAATGTACAAAAATAGTATCTTCAAAGGTAATATTTTAACTTATTTGACTTGCCCCAAGTACACTGAGTAACAAATTATAGTCTTTGATTCTACATGACTGAAAAGCAAGTCCCTGAAGGCTACAAGAGTCTTTCATAACTTTCGGACTTATCAACACTTACAAAGGGGAAATAATATCAGATTAAAAAAGGTCAATAAAAATTTTATTATACAGTTTGTAATATAATAGGAAATTACACAATAATATTTGATTACTATAAATAATAATTCCGAAACCATGAAAGCAAATACCGTAGTAAGTAAAAACTTTTGTATAAATTAGATACCCCAGATTACTAACTAGATAAGACAACAATGTATTAACCAATGAAGCCCAGTATTACAAAGCTACGAAAAAATATGTGGAATTGCAATGTTACCAAGCCAACTGTAATAATCATTACACTCATGTAAAGTAAAGTACTATCAATAAAACACAGTGAAATAATATTGTATTATTATTATTATTATTAATTTATTATTAAGGAAACCTATATTCCTGGAACAAGTTTACTATACCCCATCAGTGTTTTGCAGTTGTAAAGAAATTAGTTTTTAGCTTTTACAGCATAATTTTTCATAATGCATGATGTTGTTTGCCCTTCTTACACTGACTACTTCACACTTCTAGTCACTACTAACTTTGGCAGGTTCTTTACTGAGAAGATAAAAGAAATCCATGTAAAACTGGATGGCTATGAGGGCTGTCACTAATAGTTCAAGTTGCTGGACTTATGCAATATTATTAATGCGTGGGGAATTCCATTTTCCTTGTGTTTCCTATGAAAGTAGTCGGGGATCACAGTCACGTTCATAATAGCCAGGAGGAATCTCCAGCCCCTTTCTGACTCTTGATGACAGCTCTGAGCTATGATTCAGCTTCTAGCCTTTGTTTTGTCCTTTTTTACACTTGGAACCTGTAACACCTGACCATGCCAAGGAACTCATAGCCAACTCTCCTAGGTACATGTCTGACTGCTTGGATGTACAGTTACACCAAGCAGCCAGCAATCAAAAACCCAAAATATCAGCCATCTCTATCAAACCACTGTTTGGATGTTCCAGTGACAGTTCTCCTATTGTTGTCACCTCACTCTAAGTGCTAGATACCCTTAATTTGGCTTTATTTTAAAAACATGAAGGAAAATACAGTATGAGATACGTGATGACTGATTGTGGACCAGGTAAAATGATGTTAAAATTTAATATTAAATAATTTATTTATTTATTGTTATTATTATTATTATCATTATTGTCATTGCTATTATTATCATCATCATCATCATTATTGTTATTATTAATATAGCTGTTGGGGCCATGTAGTTTCTGCAGATCACATTCAGTTCTTTTTATTTTGTTTGTTTCTCTTTCAAAGACCCCTAACTGGTTATTTTAGGTAACATTCTTCATACCTAGTGTATGTTATGGTGGATACTCGATGAATTTTCAGACAATAAAATAAGTAAGAATTCATTTGATAAAATTAGAATATGGCTTGGATAGTTAACTAAATTAAAACCAGTATTAAGCACAGTCCATGTTATGTAAACTTCCCATCTACAGCTTTTTTGCCATGTTTTCTGTAAAATGACAGGGCCTGCATCGCCAGCGTAGTGGTAGCAGAGAGAGTTGTCTCAGTTAAAATGTTAAAGTTTCCGGTGTTTGACTTGCAAAAAAAAACATATGGCCAAGACAGCTACACATGTACATTAAAAAACTTATTTTCTGATATTAGCTGGCTATGGCCCTGAGTGAACAAGTATAATGAGCAGATGCTTCCAAAGGCCCAAGCAAGTGTCCTGTGGCTTTCTGCTTAACAAAGGTTTTGCTGAATAAAAATCTGTATCACCAAGTTTAAAAAACATCCTTAAAATAACCCTTACAAACAATTCCATTGCTTAAAATAATAATGTTGATATCCAGAGTACACAATGTCCTTGTAAACTGTGTCAAATGTATGAGTGCACTGAGTCAACAGTGGTGAATTTTAGTGTCATAACAAAGTACATGTTGTACAATTAGCATCAGAGCTGCTATTGAGGCTGCTCTCCCTGTCACTGCCAAAGCTCTTCTTGCTTCTTGAGGAAGTGGTACCTGATGAACCTCCACGTGCTGTCAAACAAAAAAAAAGACTTGTGTCTATTTTGACTGGTTTCATTACAGACAGATCTCATTTATTTTATAGGTGAGGCCAAAGATTACACATGCAGATTAACTAGCATCCAAGATTGGCATAACAAGAGAGCAAGTAATAATTACTTGTTCTCCTGTTATGACATACTTTGTATATGTTTATATAAACTTAATACAAAATACATCATTGCCACCAGATGTTAAGTGTCATTATGGAGTTCATATACACCGTACATACATATACATAAGCCGGTAATCTTCTTGGTTTGCAACCTCTTGACAAGGTGGCCACAACAGTTAACAAAATAGAATTTGCAAAAGTTTAATGGAAAAAGAGTTTCAAAAAAGGTTAAAGGTTTGTTTTTTATAGTGAAAAGTGCATTTAGCTTATCCAGCTAGTTTGCTCTCAAACTGGGCGCAGCTGGAATTGACTGATGTGTTATTTCCAATTATCAGAAGAAATCACTCCATTTCTAGGTAAAAAACAACCTTCTTCCAAACTAGTGAGTGATATTATACTAATTTTCACATGACAAACCACATAAGGTCATGGTGCCGCAATGGGCTGATTCATCAACTTAGCATCTGATCTGCTGGCCTGGGTTGCAGTTGAGGAAATAATTATTTATTCTTCAGACTAGTAATAGATGACACTATAGCTGCCCCTGCTCTGTATATTGTCAGTCAATAGTACTCTTGGTCATTGTGAAGCTCTTTGAAATATACCAATTCATATTGAAGATTTTCACACATATTCCATACAATAGGTGAGATAAAAACAGGAAACACAAGGTTCCATGCACTGATCAGTTCCATTTGTAAGCACAGCTTTGATCAAAACATTCTCATTTTCTCAGTTTTTTCTTTAAACCATAAGACAAGATTTGATTGGAAGTTGGAATTTTTTGCTATTTTCCTTCCAATTTTTACATACAGTTCATTTTATTAGCCAGAAAGTAAGCCTTAGAAATTAAAAAGTTTGATCAATTCACACTGGAGTGTCCAGTCCTTTTAACTATTAAAACAATACTTTAAAAAAAAACTTTATAGAAGGACATCTGTGAGCAGGGACAATGTCAGCACAGCATGCACCTTATAACTTCATCTGCACTTAACGAGTGTCTTTTGGTCCATAACGTTCAAAAAAGCTTCTCCACAGAATGTCACTGATAAAACGTAATGAAAAAGAATATCAAAGTATGACTGTACAATAGGTGTCAAAAAATCAACCTAAGAGGTCCCTTTGGGGATTTCTGTTTTACGTCATCTTAACCATCTCTTATTTGCGTGAAGAATAGAAACGCCATCATTACCCAGTGATTCCATTCGGCCCCTGATCATGCAAATGTAGATTAATTTTTTGGGGGTAAACTGACTGTATATTTAAAAGGTAAGTACTTTTCGATACATACACAGGAGCTGCTAGGATGCCTCCTCAGGATTTCGCCTTCTGAGCAAAATAAATGCGGGGGCAATAAATTAAAATATTTATTCTAGCGGAAAGAACTCAAAGTGATCTCGAGATAAATCTGGTCTCACTGCCTGAAATAGCCAAGACATGCCAAAGAGTCACGAACTTTCGTGCCCTGGTAAACTAGTGCATGATTTTATAGCTATTTTTCACATTACAAACTACTTGGGGTCTCAGTGGTGCAATCGGCTAATCCCTCAACTTAGAGTCTCATCCGATCTGACGGGTCACAGATTTCTTCCTCAAATACGAAGTGATCTTGAGATATCTCAAACTGAAATGTGGTCGATTCGCCCAACGGCGTTCACCAGGATATTGGTCCACTCACACTTTGTCAAATAGCTGACTCAAACCGTTTAAACTCACAGATTTTGCATGCCCAATTTTGTCACCCAAAAAGCAACTTTAGGACATTCCTGAGCGTCGCGAATCCTTTACTTGGCACTCTGCCCAAGTAATAAGCCAGTGAGATAAAGTTTGCTATAAAATCGCATATTTTTTAACCTATACGGGTTCTGATATTTTTTTGCTATTTATGCAATGTTATTGTAACGCTCAAAATTAGGTTGGCTCATAGAGCTAGGGCTACCTGTGATTTTTGTACTGAATCTGTTGTAGGTAAAATCCTTTCTCGGATTAATTTTGACGGTCTGCGATGAATAATTATTGGAGGCTGGCTCGGAACAACAGGTTGGTTTTAGATTTGCTTGCTGGAAATAAGATTGTTGATTAACAGCTTCGTGAAGCTGAAGATACTTACATCGAATAATATTTCTTTTGCCAACAGCCAGAGTTGATCGATCGACCTCTGAGTTTTCAATAAGTTCGATGTAGTTCACCGGACGACCATTGCCCAAGAACGTTATCTCGTAATAATCAGAAATTTGTAGTTCTCTTTCTGTGCCATTGTCCACTCTAAAAACAAACTGATAAACTCCTGGTTCGAGAGACGGACAAGCACAATAGCTTCCACCCTCTGTATTCCACTGTTCTAAGGTGTAAGTGGTGCACTTATCATTTTCAATCAAAGGCTCCTGGCTGTGATCAAAATGATCTTGATAGATGTCTTCCGCTTTACTGATCAGAAGTTCGACGCGCTTTACATCAACATGAGCTTCAGGTTTCCACGCAAATCCTATCGTTATATACATCGCTTCCATAAGTTTCAAACGTTCATCAGCAAGAGCCGTCATCCGACAACATTTATTTCCCAACCCAGATTGTTTATGATATTTTTTCGCTAAAATTGTGAAATCTCACCACAGGTAACCCAGGCTCACTGTTTGTCACGTACGGGTTTCTTCTTTAGCCTGCGTAGCAAGCGTTTCCTCGCGAGGTTCGTCTAGAAAGTTGGAACGAGAGCAAAAAAAAAAAATGACGGGGGAGGGGGAGGGGAACCTTCTTTTTGCGTCCGCTCTAACTTTCGCGCAATAACTCGATTGGAACGCTTGCTACGCAGGCTAGGGTTTCTTGCATCGAGAACACATCGGCCGAAGTTTAGGTCTGGTAATTTGCTAGAAAATGGAAATAAAAATCGATGAAAGCAAATTGCCAGACCTAAACTTCGCCCCATATGTTCTCTATGTTTACTTCTGTTATGAAACCCTTACGTGACACAAGCAGTGAGCCTGGGATACCTGTGATCTCACTATTCTCGGTTTTCACTGTCACGCAATCAAAAATAAAATTGCAAACCATTCGATACAGAAAGTCCCGAATCTTGGAAATAAAAGAAGATAAATAAGCAAAAGACCTTGCCAAGAATCAGGTCTGTGCGATATTTCATATGCGAGATATTAGGAAAAACGTTTTACCCAAATTTATAAAGCTTTGTATGGAGGCGCCATGCTTGTGTCCCTTTGAGGGGCACAAATATGGCCGCCGGAAACCAACAGAAACATCTGTTTTTGAGTTTTCCTACTAATGCGTTAATTCATCGCTTAAAAAACTCATAAACTATTAAAGTGATATTTATTCTGACAGAAGGAATGTTTAGATAGCAAAATCTCCCAAGACTGGTAATGTTTTTAACCCACAGAAGAGCAGTCCCGGCCGCCAGCTAAATGCCGCGTCACGCAAAAGCCTAGAAATTCAAACGTCCTCTATCGCAAAACGAAGAACCCTTTCGAACCAAACCTCTGTTTAAATAAAGGTGTTTAGGTGCTGTAATACCTCATGAAACTCAGAATCTCAGAAGAATCGATAGTTTCTTAGTTTGAATTTTGATGACGTCATGTGAAAACCGAGAATACCGACTGCTGACCGACAGAGTCGAGACCTTGAAGATCCTGCGGAGAGCACCAGAACGAGGCGGACAAATAAACAAAATGGCGACTATCATTGGGACGACTGTTTTGAGGAGGACAACTAGAAATCTTCGACCGCTTTCAAGGTTATTGTCAACGGAAACGCACCTCAAAATAAAACTGGAACCATACGAACTTACTCACGAGACAATTTTCAACGAGGATCATGCAGAACTTCGCGCATCGCTCAACAAATTTATCCAGAAAGAGATTAACCCTTTTGTGGACGAGTGGGAAAATGCCAAGAGTTTTCCCGCCCATGAATTGTTTAAAAAGATCGGATCTGCAGGGTTCTTTGGTGTGAACAAACCCACTAAGTATGGTGGACTCGGGCTGGACTATTCGTTCAGTGTGGCTATGGCAGAGGAGTTAGGTGAGAAACGCACGTACACAATTGAACACCACAGGGAGGGCAGAGGATTTTGTCTTAAAATTTGTTGAAGGGAAAGGGGTCAAAGGGGGGATGCTAATTTTTTAGAAAGAGTTTTGAAAGATTAAGTGTTTCTAACATTATTGTAAACCACTTCAAAATTAGCCTCCCACGCAGGCGTTTTTAGGGGAGCTCGTCTTTCATCCCTCCCCACAATTGCCTGCTCAACCGAAGACAACATTCCTTTCCCAAGCTTAGCCAATCACATTGTACTTTCCAAATTCTGGAAGGTTGACCTTGACTGCAGGATAATTACTTGATCTGCATGGAACACTGAGAAAGCTTTCTTACCTATAATAAAATGTTAGGGGATGTTTACATGAGAAAACTCATACTGGGGCGAGTTTCGTACTGGAATGACTTTTTTATTTTGTATTGTGTTTACATTATGACTGTGTCATTTCATATCTTGTTATTTGAAGGCACACTTCATGTTGATAAAATACACGTAAGATTCAAAATTGCAGACATTACGTATACGCTACCCAGGCTGGTCTACCATCAGACCGATTTCACACCGAAACATGTGGTCATTTCGCATTTACATGATACCGTTGCAAGATTTCGTGCTGAAGTGAAATTCTCGCCCCAGAACAACAACCAGGGGTGAACTTACGCCGGGGTGACTCACGCGGTGGTGGTATCATGTAAACAAAGGTAGAGCCATGAGAGGGAACCGGAGTGGACTCACTCTGGAGTGAAAGTCACCCCGGTGTCATGTAAACACCCCCTTAGATTCAGAGTGGCAAAAGTAATATTTAGTCAAATTTTAGAATACTCCATGCACTGCATAACCTTAGCAAAGGAAAGAAAAGAATGGAAATAGTAGCTCCAGGGTCACATTTTAGCCGTGTTTAGCCTGTAAACACTTTATTCACACCTGTTGATTGGTCACTTACCATGCATATAAAACAATGGGAAAGGAGAGATTTTTTCAGTTGAGAAGGCGTTTGTAGGGAGGGATGAAAAACGAGCTCCCCTAAAAATGCCTGCATGGAAGGCTACCACAAAAGGGAAGTTCCCTATTTTCTAGTTCAGTGAAGGATGTTTTTATTATTAATGCACTAAACTGCAATGTCCTTTACTTTGTGATGTGGCTTAATGTAATTTCGGCAAAGTTAACCTCGAAGCAATGCTGTTCAGCAGTTTCCCAAGCTATACTAGGGGTGGCCCGATGCCTCTAGCAGGGGCACCTCGTGACTTATATACGCAGTTGCTTGCTTGCAGTTCTTTGCAAAGTGTTGTTGCAATAGCTTGCTGTTTGCATGCCATTTTGTGCTTTGGTTTTTGCTTGTTTGCTGTTTCCGCTTTACAATGACTGCTCGTCAAACCAACAGTAGTTTGGCTGCTAGTTTGGATGGGGAGAACTTGCCATCGGATACCGTTCTGCACGCAGAGTCGTCTGTTCCTTTGTCGCTCGCTTCTGCGGCAAACTCGGCGCGACAAACATCTTCAACAGTTTCCGCCCCAGTTGTTGCTGCTCGTGTCCATGATCCCGCTCTAATCGCTGTAATCATCGATGCTGTTAAGGTCTCTTTAGTGGCAGAAAAAGGCCCTGGCTCTACCTCAAGCAATTTGCATGGAAATTCAATTAGCGTGGAGCTACAAACAGCTTCTGGGGGCGTTCCCACCCCATCACCCAGCTTGTCCTAGCAAACGGCGACCTTTTTAGCTTCTGGAGGCACCTTTCCAGCGCATCAGGCAATATCTTTACCTTCAGCCACTCAAGGTAGGCCTAATTTTACTGTACCATCCTTTGTTGCCACTTTTGCAATCCTGCGCTTGCCGATTTTAAGCACTTCGATCACGGCGGGTGCTTCTGTCCCGGTACGACTCAGCGACAGCTCCTTGGCTGCAAGCCTGCCATCGGGACCGTTACTCCAACAGCCGTTTGTAGTTGGCCCCTGTTTTTTCACCAATTCCGGCGAAAACGGTTTGCCAAATTGTTGCTGGCAAGTATGTGGATTTTGGGGACTTGCTATCAGTCAATATCGTTCAGACTGCGCGGGAGTCAGAAGCATTCCTGGATGGGAGCTTAGTGTTTCTGCCAAGCACTAAAAAGCAACGCCGACGCATCAAGGACATCGTGACCTGGTCCGAAGCTTTTACAATTTTCACGCTGATTCTGACATCGTATTTTCCACACCACTGGAAAGATTTAACTTCCTAAAAGCTTCTCATCCTGCACACGTACCGCCAGTTCGGTGGTCGTGGTTGGCTGGCATACAATCATTCCTTCTCCATAACCACTGCCTTTCTGATTTGTTACGTTATTTGGATAACTTTATTACCGTAGGTCCCCCACAGTCGTCCCAGTGTGCTTATAACCTAAAGACGGCAGTCTCTGTCTGCCACCGGCTGGGGTTGCCTCTTCATGCTTACAAATTTGTGGGTCCAGCCACTTCTATGACCATCTTAGGAATTGAATTGGACTCCGTTAACCAAGTGGCTCGTCTTCCTGAGGACAAATTGCTTGCACTAAGAGACCTCATTCATTCCTGGATGCCCTGTCGCTGGTGCAGAAAGTGGGAATTGGAGTCCCTTATTGGCCATTTACACCATGCTGCTAAGGTAGTTTGGCCAGGGAGAGCCTTTCTCCGTCGGTTTATTGACTTACTGTGCTGCTTCCGTAACAAGGGCCATCCCGTTCGGATCAACCAGAAATTTTGTCTTGATCTTCAGTGGTGGCAGCAGTTTCTATCTTCTTGGCATGGAGTTGGGTTTTGGTTGTACCCCAGCATGCCTGCTGCCACATAGTTGGAGGTCACTTCGGATGCAGCAGGTGCGATTGGCTTCAGTGCCTATCCTAGGGGCCAATGGTTTTATGGTGCCTGATCAACAGTGCAGGCCAGGCAATCTATCGCATACTAAGAACTCTTTCCTGTGGTGATTGCTGCTCACCTTTGGAGATCTTAGTGGGCCAGGAAGCATGTCCTTTTTCGATCAGATAACGAGGCAGTAGTCGCAATTCTCACGACCAGGACTTCAAAGGTTCCAGCTTTAATGCACCTTCTCCGTGATCTTCTGCTCTCAGCGGCGCGTTGGGGTTTTACTTTCACTGCTGCTCATATTCCTGGAGTTGAGAACAAAATTGCTGATGCTATCTCTCGTTTCTGTTGGCAGGATTTCAGGCAGCTGGCTCCGGAGGCTCATTTGTCCCCTTGTCCGATTTCTCACCTCCTGCTTGACAGCTTAACACCTCCTCCCTGGAACAATGATGCTTACATTTCTTGGCCGAGGGTCTGGCTCCTTCCACCTGGAAAGCATATGTATCAGGTCAGTGCAAGTTCGTCGAGTTTTGCTGCCAAGCTGGAAAGCTTCACCCCAATGGCTTGCCTTGCCGTGCAGATGAGTGGACTTTATGTTTGTTTGTTTCATTTCTGGCAGATTCAATTCAGCATTTGTCAATTAAAGTATATTTATCTGCAGTTCGCTCCTTGCACATTGAGTAAGGTTTTCCTGACCCGTTGCTTAATTGCCTGCGGCTTCAACGAGTGTTAAGAGGGTTCAAGCGTTCCCAAGGTTCCCCAGCTGCTCAACGCTTTCCGATTACTGACAGCCTTCTCTTGGTTATTCATCGGGCGTTGGACCTCAATATTTTTTATCATTGCACCTTTTGGGCAGCCTGCATGCTGGGTTATTTTGGTTTTCTCCGTGCTGCAGAATTTACAGTCCCCAATTTAGCTAGCTTTTCTCCAGCTAGTGATCTATCAGTGGCAGACATCGCAGTGGATTCGCTCCAGTCACCAGCCTGCCTCCGTGTTTGGATAATAGCGTCAAAAACGGATCCGTTCCGTCAGGGTTGCCACATCCATATTGGTCTGGGAAGGGCACCCCTCTGCGCAGTTCAGGCTTTGCTGGCTTACCTCTCCTTGCGAGGAAATGTCCCTGGCCCCTTGTTCTTACTGGCGAATGGTCAACCTCTGTCTCACTTAATCCTGACTGATTGGCTGCGGCAAATTTTCTCCACCGTGGGAGAAGGCAATTTTCCCAGCCACAGCTTCCGCATCGGGGCAACCATGGTAGCAGCTCACAATGGTATTCCAGACCACCAAATTCAGGATCTTGGATGTTGGACTAGCAATGTTTACCAGCTTTTTGAAGCTCTTGCGGGCATCTCTTGTCAGCTGGCTTGACATCGCGTGTCCTTGCCATTTGTTATCCACAGCTCCTTTGACATTGCAGGCGAGTTAAGTACTGAATTGCCCTGGGCTTGCAGCGCGGTTTTTTGGTGTTGCTCTCACTGTCAGCTGCATTCCGTTGGTAAGTGTGTTGTCTGTTTTTTTTTTTTTTTAAGCAACTGTTGCAGCCTGGTGCTTGGGGTTGTTGGAGTCGGAGGTTCCATTTCACCCCAGTTCGCTGGCCTCTCTTTTTTCAAGCACCAAAGAGATTTCGGTTGGCGGGGGGGGGCGCTAGGGTGCTCGCAGGGTTGCCATGGATAGCTCCTCCTCTTGCTAGAGCATTGCCTGGCTCCACCAACTTTGTAGGCACCAACGCCCAAGCTCATCTATTGGTGATGAGTTTAAATGTGGCTAAGGGTAATTTTCCACTGGCTGAGTGTAACGAATTAAGTGGAAAATGTTTTTCTCACACACCGCTGGGAGCCTGGGTATAGGTCATGTGACTGAAGGGCGGGCAGTTGCTTTTGTTGCGTCCGCGATTACTGACCTTCCCACCCACCCACCCTATGATTTCAGTTTTGTATGCTGTTAAATGTACGGTGCAACTTTGTAGTTTTTGTTGGTGTCCTACCTTTCTAAGGTTATGATATGTATGCATTTTTTGAGTTTAAAATAAAGGTCAGGCTGCGGCAGTCGGCTTGGCATGGCTACCAGTGGTGTGTGAGAAATGTAATTTAGGCAAAGTTAACCTCGAAGCAATGCTGGTCAGCAGTTTCCCCAGCTATACTAGGGGTGACCCGATGCCTCTAGCGGGGGCACCTCGGGACTTTTATACGCAGTTGCTTGCTTGCAGTTCTTCACAAAGTGTTGTTTCAATAGCTTGCTGTTTGCGTGCCATTTTGTGCTTTGGTTTTTTGCCATCCCTCCCTCCCTCTTGAGGTATGGGCCAGGTAAGTATTGGTCGTTAAGTACTTCACTGAATTGTTCAGTGTGACGGTGCCTGGTGGGGGCCGCTGGCAGGGTTGCCATGGATACCTCCTCCTCATGTTAGAGCATTGCCCGGCTCCACTAACTTTGTAGACACCAATGCCCAACTAGCCCTATCTACATTATCATCATCACCTATCCTGCTTTCATAACATCACGGATTGTTTTCATTCTTGTAATCATCATCATCATGGTCATCATGGTCATCATCAATAAACCCACCTTTCTCACTTTCACAGCTCTTAAAGTTATGATTAAGTCCTCAGCTTCTATGTTTGCATGATTTAAACCACCTTCCATAGCTTAAAATGGTCAGCAATATGTTGGTTTGTTCAAGTCTCTGCAGTTACGCTGCAATCAGAATGATATACTTGACTACAGGTCGAGCATGGTTCTGTAATCAAAAGTGACCATATGCAAATTCCCATCAAGTTGATCCCAAATCTTTAGAAAGCTTCTTTGATTTACATCATGGATGAAATTTCTTTGATATTTCTTACGATTGTGGTGGCCTTTATGGATATGGACTACAATGTCTGAAGAAAGCTTTCCTTCTATTTAGCCACAATTGGTAGCTGGCTGAAAATATGCTTGTTTGAGTCAAAAGACGACATAGTTTTCTGTACGGAACCTGAAGCTTTCCATGGAGTATGCAACTGATCTGAGTCGGAGCTAATTCAAAATAAAATTTTGTTTTCTTTGTTCCCTATGCTTACATTATTGTCTCATTAATATTCATATTTTCGATTATCTGGACTATTTACTGAAGTCCCAATGAGTCCGGGTATCAAGGTTCAACTGTAATGAGTCTGACATGCTGTATCTGTTACTATGTTATGTTAGTTTCTTCATTATTTGTCGCTAACAGGAATATAGGGCTGTCACTAAGATTTTATTAAGTTGCCAGGTAATGCAATAAGTGAGTGGTGAATTGAACAGCTAGGGATTTTTTGTGCTTTCATTTTCCTGATGTTCCCTGTGAAAGTAGCTGGGTTTTATGCTCATATTGGGCAGGGGAAATCCCTGGCCCCTGGCCCTTAAGTGACTGCCCTGTGAATAGTTATCTTTGTTTTGATTGAAACATCAGGAAGCATCACATGTGGAGCCATTCCCATGGCAATAGGGGTCCAGGCAGATATGGCAACTCCTGCACTGATGAGATTTGGCAGTGAAGAACTTAAGAAACAGTTCCTTGTTCCAACCATAGCTGGTGATTTTGTGGCTTGCCTTGGAGTGAGTGAGCCTGGGGCTGGCTCTGATGTTGCAAGTATAAAGACTGTTGCTGTTAAAAAAGGAGGTAAGAATGTTTTTTTTAATGTAATAGTACGCAAAAAAAACACATACAGAATACTGTAACAGCCACTTTTTCACTGCATATCTATGTTTACCTGAAAAATCCTTAAGTGTATTAGTTTTTCGCTCTGTTTTCAGGCTCCTTAGTGTGCTATTCACCAACCCTTCTGATAGGTGCAAAAATTATTGGAAAATCAATATGCAATATTTACAGGAGTTCACGTCATACAGCAAAAAGGCCTTTAGGTGGCACATTGTGATTTCTAAGGAATAGGCTTCCCATCTTATTACCATTATTAGATTCACGGAGGTCTTTATGGGCTCTTACTTGACATTCCAGTTAGCAAAGTATACTGTACCTGTAAGTTAGGGTATATCTGATCCACTGAATTGCCTGTCTGTTATTTAAAAATCCAGCTTCCATGTAAATTTCACTACAAATAAAACCTCAGTCTGCTATTGAAAGCACTTGAATTAATTAAAGATCTGATTAAGAACCTAAGCAGCCTGATTTCCCTCAAAGCACCCAATGTACGTTTACAAAAACCTGTTTTTTTGCTGAATGCACGTGTTTGCCATATACAATTTCTTTTGTACTGATTCTTAAATATTGTGCAATTTTCCTGTAGTGTGTATCTTGCCTATTTGGTATACTAATTTATATTACTTAAAACAGATGACTATGTTATAAATGGAAGCAAGTTGTGGATTACAAATGGCCTTCAAGCTGATTGGATATGTCTTCTAGTTAATACAAGTGAGGGTCCTGCTCATAAAAACAAGTCTTTAATCTGCGTTCCTCTCAATCTACCTGGAGTACAAAAGGCAAGAAATATAAACAAGCTCGGTATGCACTCTTCGGACACCGCAGAACTATTCTTTGAAGATGTCAAAGTGCCGCAGTCTTACAGAATTGGCAAGGAAGGGATGGGTTTTACCTATCAGATGATGCAGTTTGTTGATGAGAGAGTATTTGCTGGGGCATCAGGTAAAAATTGATCATTAATTTGTAATGCTAGCTTTATCATCAATACATAAAATTTCTAAAAAAAGAACAGTGTAAGCTTCAAACGTACAATACTAGATAAACCAAAGTGAAATATACTTTTGTTAATAGATGTTGGTCTTTTGTACCTATTTTTATCAAGGTTTCATTGCACACTGAACTTTAATTTGGATTATTTAACTTCTTTTTTGAGATAAATATTAGCGATAAAAAATCACGACGTTTCGACCTCTCCGAGGTCATTTTCAGGTGTATAAAAGTTCTCTAAATTAGCATAAATAAGTTAAAAACAAGTTATAATAGATAAAAAATGTGGTGAACGCTAAAATGTGATAAAATATGTAAAAATGTAAAAAGTGCTAAAAATATTTATAAAGTCAAAAAACAATGGAAATAAAACAATGTTAACAAGAACTACTCTAAAGAAATAATTTGGCGCGAATTGAATCGCACTGTTTGTTAAGCGTCGGTTTCAGTTCTTGGATAAAAAAACATTTCAAAAATAAGGCAGTCAAATTTGTTCTAACACTTTCTTAAGATTCTAAAACTTTGTGCGATGTCTTCAGGCTCCATATCATGCTGCTCTCTGAGGTGGTTTGCGATTGCCGATCCTTTGTGTTCTTCAATTCGTTGGTGTAGGTGTCGGCACGTGTAGCCGACATAGCCTGCATCACACAGGCTACACTGGAAAGAGTACACCACGCATTGTTGACTCACAAGAGGCGGCTTGTCTTCTTTGACCTTAATTTCATCTTTGATCTTCCTACTTGTGTAAACTGGGCTGATGTCTGCGTTGATCTTCCTACTCAGGTCAGCCAGCTGTTTACGTACTACGTTTGCTGATTTCTGGTCTTTGAAGGGCAACACGATTCTGTTCGGGGCTTCTCTTTTATCAGCCACTTGGGTGTGTGAATCCTCGGACACTTTGGATTCAATGAATTGGCGAATGGTTGACTGCACAAGGTCGTCTGGATAGCGCAGTCGGGAGAAGATCTCTTTAAGGCGTTCACATTCCTTGTGAAAAAACGTCCACGTAGACGAGAGTTTAAACGCACGGTTAAGCATGGTGTTCAGGAGTGACCGTTTGTATCTGGCGTCAACGTGACTGTGGTAGTGTAGCAGAAGTCCAGTGTCCGTTGGTTTTCTGTAAACCGTGGTGTCTAGGCGGCAACCATTCCTGATAACATTCATTCCGAGAAAGGGAAGCTTGCCATTTTCTTCGAGCTCCATTGTAAAATTGATAGAGGGATGACTCTCGTTTAATGTCGTCAGGAATTCTGAGGCTGCTGTCAGATCCGGCATTACGCTAAGTGTATCATCTACATAGCGCTTGTAGAAGGTAGGCAACTTGTTCTCTGTTTCCAGCTGTTTCTCGATTTTGCACATGAAGGCGTTTGCCATTAGGGGACCTAGTGGCGAGCCCATGGCTACACCGTCCACTTGCTCATACAAGTTCCCTTCAAACTGGAAGAGCTGATTTTTGGTGGCGATTCTCAACAGCTCTATCAAATCAAACTTCGTGATGTAAAGATCGTGCTCTCTGTTAAACCAGTCGTTTTCAAAGGCTCTCTCTGCGATACTCTCGATAGTTTCATCCACTGGAACATTAGTGAACAGTGGCGATACATCATAGGACACCAGAACCTCATGCTATGTAGATGATACACTTTTCGTAATGCCGGATCTGACAGCAGCCTCAGAATTCCTGACGACATTAAATTCATTGAATCCAAAGTGTCCGAGGATTCACGCACCCAAGTGGCTGATAAAAGAGAAGCCCCGAACAGAATCGTGTTGCCCTTCAAAGACCAGAAATCAGCAAACGTAGTACGTAAATAGCTGGCTGACCTGAGTAGGAAGATCAACGCAGACATCAGCCCAGTTTACACAAGTAGGAAGATCAAAGATGAAATTAAGGTCAAGGAAGACAAGCCGCCTCTTGTGAGTCAACAATGCGTGGTGTATTCTTTCCAGTGTAGCCTGTGTGATGCAGGCTATGTCGGCTACACGTGCCGACATCTACACGAACGAATTGAAGAACACAAAGGATCGGCAATCGCAAACCACCTCAGAGAGCAGCATGATATGGAGCCTGAAGACATCGCACAAAGTTTTAGAATCTTAAGAAAGTGTTAGAACAAATTTGACTGCCTTATTTTTGAAATGTTTTTTTATCCAAGAACTGAAACCGACGCTTAACAAACAGTGCGATTCAATTCGCGCCAAATTATTTGCTCAGAGTAGTTCTTGTTAACATTGTTCTATTTCCATTGTTTTTTGACTTTATAAATATTTTTAGCACTTTTTACATTTTTACATATTTTATCACATTTTAGCGTTCACCACATTTTTTATCTATTATAACTTGTTTTTAACTTATTTATGCTAATTTAGAGAACTTTTATACACTTGAAAATGACCTCGGAGAGGTCGAAACGTCGTGATTTTTTATCGCTAATATTTATCTCAAAATCGATTTCTAAGAAACTACTTATTAATATTTAACTTCTGTGATTTAATTACATTTCTAGACAGAGATTAAAGCCCATCAGCTCTCTTTTGTCTTGTACCTAGGTCAAGTTTCAATCAGTTTAAGTGGGAAAAAGTACCTTCAGAAATAATTCCTGAAGATACTTTTACATTTGTGTACTTTAACCCATTCGCTCCTGGAGATTTTGCCGAAAAACGCGTTTTGAAGTTAGTCGAGTGGTTTTCTGGTCACTGTCGTGCTATAAAGAGCTAAAACTTACCACAAACCGGTTTACAGGTCGAACACTTCGCGGCCTTCTGATCCAGATGCAAAATATCAGCTTGCGAAGTTCGGGCATGCGCAGAAAGCAAAATTTCAATGTCACGTGGTTTTTTGCTTCTTTCTCCCGTTCCTTGACTGAATTGTGCTCATTCTGGTATGGTTTGAAAGATCTCTTCACTCTGCACAAGTTAGCGAAGAAAGTTGTCCTTGACCGTTAAAACTGATGACGTCACAAAGGGTAGAAAGGACCTGGATCCGCACGGGCGGTTACGGGCGGTTCAGGGGCGAATGGGTTAAAAAAATCTGAACTTGTAAAGACCTAGCTACTTACGTATTAACGTACAGCAATACACAGAAGATGTGATGAAGTTATTTGTATGTTTTGTAGTGTTGTTATCTATGGAGAGGCTGATCAATGATACTGCTGCTTACTGTGCACAAAGAAAAGCATTTGGTAAATCCATTTTAGATAACCAGTATGTCCACTTCCGCCTTGCTGAACTTCAAACTGAAGTAGAGCTGTTAAGGTCACTTGTATACAGAACTACAGGTGGGTGTCCTGTGCCTACAATGTTCCTCTCCTCCACTGTCAAAATCTAAGATGGCAACCACTCATGTCTTTTCTCTTCACTTATTTACTACTTTAAGTTATAAGACTCCTATCATGTATTTTCAGTCAGAACAGTGTAGGGAATACTGAGAAATCACCAGGGGGAAGGGTAGGGGATCAATGAGCACCCATCATCATCTCCCCTAGTGGTAGACTTTGCAGGCAATTTTGGTGTCACATAGGTGTTTACATTTATTTACATTTGCCACATAAAATAAATATTATAGAAAGAAAATTAAAAAAAATATATATTATTACTAAGATTACACTTTTGTAATAGATAGAGTGGTGAGGAAGCCCAATAGAAGCTAAATAGCTTGTAGAAAATTGGGCTCCTCATACTTAATTATGATATAGTGTCAGCTGTCATATCATGGTCAGGTGAGTTTAATTTATAGCGCTCTTTTAATTTATAGCGCTCTCTTTTTTAAATGAAGTCTTGAAACTAGAGAAACTGGTCAGTTGCATAAGATTATAGGGAGGGGAGTTCCATAGTTTAGGTCCTTGATGGAGTAATGTGAACTGTTTAATGTTTGGTCTACAGAAATAAGGTCGGTAGTTATTAGCATTTCGAGTATTACATGTATATGTGTGTACTTGGCGATTAGTAACAAAGGTGGTGTTAAACGCATGAGGAAGGAGGTTATTGTGATATGAGTACATTCAATAAGGAAAGCTAACACTTGTACCCATAAAGATATCAAAGGGGTTTTACATAAAAAAATAAAAATTATCTGAGTAAAAATAAACAAGACCATCACACCTTTAGGGGTCAAAAAAAGCCGGAGCCACGCCCAGAATGGTTTCGTTTAGGGGTTTGAATCCAATTTTATGAGGAGCATGGCCATCTATTTTATCTAGGCATTTCCCCCCGGGGTGCTCACGTGCCAGAATAACATTCCTACACCGCAGGTTGCTGAAGAAAATGACCCCTTCAACTAAGAAATCAATCTCGTTCCCAGGATCTTCTCCTATGCGTCCGCGGAGCAAGAGAGGCATGAGTAGGAAAGACCCATGGGTAGGAGGTTGCTAAAAAATAACTGGTGTTACATTTTTCTGGCAGCTTTGTACTTGGAAGGCAAAGATGTAAACAAACTAGCGTCAATGCTGAAGCTTAAAGCTGGGCGGTTGGTGCGTGAGGTGCCTGATTCATGTCTGCAGTTCTGGGGTGGAATGGGTTTTACTTCAGATGTGGAAGTGAGTCGTGCCTACAGAGACAATCGCCTACTCTCCATTGGTGGAGGAGCAGATGAGGTCATGTTGTCAATCATTTGCAAATACATGGGAACATTTCCTAAAGACCAAACATTATTTTAGCAAATCAAAGCGGGTGCCAGCGATTTTGGTCTGAATAAAGGGCAGCCTTTTAGCGGATGCATACACGCATTCGTCTACAACTTTATTTTAGCTCATATTTTTAGTGAAGCATACATGCTAACGCCTTCAGGCCGGCGAACTTAAGAAAAAGATTTATGCAAGGTATTGCCAAACTGAGGACATTTAAAAAGAGAATATATTGTAAATAATTCACGCTTTCACCATTTCTGTATTCCCAGACCTAAGTCGATTGCAGTTCTGCCCTGACTGCTTAATTCAGAGGTCCATGTTATGAAGTCGTAATTGCTACCTTTTGTAACTCCCTCTGCCTTAGAATTACGTTTGCTAACTATGGTTACACCGAGGTATGTAGCTCAGTCGGGATGTAGCTATGAACATCATGAGATATGGACAAATCTAGAGATTACTTCAATGAATTGAAAACACGTTAGTATTGAAAAAAATTGTTCATTCTTTCCTTCATTTTTATCTCTTTGTCAGTCCCTACGGACCTGTGAACTCACGATTTGGGCTTTTAATCCAAGGTCTCACGATTTAGCCTCGAAATCTCACGGTGAGAAAGAATGGCTTAAATTGCCAAACAGTAATGTTCAATATTGGGTTCCCGACAAAACAGAACAGATGTCGCGACGATTGCTTTTGATGAAACGACGATCTAATGAGAAATTAAACCGGAGATCGCATGGCCATTTTGATAAAGTTTAACAACGTTTCAAGTTATTCGTGCGATGATGGCAAAGAAATCTGCCAAAAAGTCCTCTGCACGTTCAAAGTTTTTAGTTTTGCTTATTTAACCCGTTGCTGTTTTTATTTTCTTGTTTCTGTCATCTTCGTGGTTGCCTGGGGACGCTAGCAGCGCTATCACGCAAAACAATTCTTGATATTCGACGATTTTGGCTAAAAAACCGAAGATTTGATAGAAAACGCGCGACGAAAACGATGTCTGCAGTTACCCATACAGAGGCTCAACAATTCCGGTTGGAATGTAGTAATATCAGTAACAAAATAAATCAGTATTTATAATGGCTAAATAGTGTCAAATGTAATTACTGAGGGAAACATGGACCAAAGATAGGTTCAATTCTAACCTCATTTCCGTGAAAAAAAAATATTAGGTGCACTAAACTGAGTTTCCAGGAAAGCTTTATCTAGTTCGTATTAGTTCGTTATATACCATCAAGAACTATGCGCTCTGCGAATAAAGGACTCCTAGTTCAGCCTATGTATAACCCTTAAAACCTATGGTTTCAGAGCTTTTTCACACGCAGCTCTTAAGGTGGCTCGATACAGTTTTTCAGGGTCAATACCTCCCAAGTTTGAGCATAAACTACGTCGCCATAAACAAAGTTTTGGAAAAATTGCCATCACAGTTGTATTAGATAAAGATGAAAATTTGTTATGATCAGGGTTGCAACGGCATCGGAGTTGTCATAGCAACGAAATGACGCTATTAGCTATTTTACTTGCAGCAGTATATCTCGGCACTAGGAACTGTTCTTCGAAAATCATTCACGGGAGCTTTTTCCTCCAATAGCAGCCTCGATGTTCGTGAAGTTTAAGAGAAATCTGTAAGAGCGTTATCGAGATATCTTGGGATAAAGTTTTTATTGTTAGAAACACAGTAAAAAATGGACAATATTGTTGTTTGGCCGTTATCTGTAGAAAATGAGGCGCTTTCGACATGCAATTTCACCTCATAGTAGTTTCAATCTTTTTAAAAGCGTGTGTGAAAGATCATGGGAGATAGCTCCAGCCGATTGCTAGAAAGAAGGGTTTGATTAGTATGTATCGAAGCGCTCTTGTTAGCGGTTTTGTAAACATCTTGGTCTACTTTAACAAATTAGCGAATAATTTTTAAACCGCTCGATGGATTTTTTTTAAAATTTAAGATTCTTGAGATTAACTTTCCTTTTTTATGACCTTTTAGTTTCAAGATTATTGATATGTTGTAAGGCAGTGAAATAAGGGCTACAATTTGTTACTTTTTTTATCGGAAGTTTCGTCATTACAAGTGAAAGCCTCTAATTATTCAAGGCATTGTCTCCAAGTTTCATTTTCACGTGAACAGTACTAACTAACAATGCAGTTGAAATATGTAAAAATGTTAGCTATTGTTCTGCACGAAAATATGAAACTTGGACACAATACCCTGAATAATGAGAGGCTCACACTTGTAAACACAAAATTTCTGCCAAAGTATTGGCGAATTGTAGCCCTTATTTTACTGCCTTACAATATATCAATAATCTTGAAACTAAAAGGTCATATAAAAGGAAGGTTAATCTCAAGAATCTTAAATTTTTAAAAAAATCTATCGAGCGGTTTAAAAATTATTCGCTAATTTGTTAAAGTAGACCAAAATGTTCAAAAAACCGCTAACAGAGCGCCTCGATACATACTAATCAAATCCTTCTTTCTAGCAAACGGGTGAAGCTATCTCCTTGATCTTTCACACATGTTTTTAAAAAGATTGAAACTACCCTGAGGTGAAATTGCATGTCAAAAGCGCTTCGTTCTCTACAGATAACAGCCGAACACCAAGATTGTCTATTTTTAACCGTATTTCTAACCACAAACTCTTTATCCCAAAATATCTCGATAACGCTCTTACAGATTTCGCTTAAACTTCACGAACGTCGAGGCTGCTATTGGAGGAAAAAGCTCTCGCGAATGATTTTCGAAGAACAGTTCCTAGTGCCGAGATATACTGCTGCAAGTAAAATAGCTAATAGCGTCATTTCGTTGCTATGACAACTCCGATGACGTTGCAATCCTGATCATAACAAATTTCCATCTTCATCTACCGGTAATACAACTGTGGTGGCAATTTTTCCAAAACTTTGTTTATGGCGACGTAGTTTATGCTCAAACTTGGGAGGTATTGGTCCTGAAAAACTGTATCGAGCCACCTTAAGATATGGAATTCCATACTAGTCTGTTTACGTACATGTTGTGAGCTGAGCGCTTTTCAACCAAAAATTGAAACATTTCTTTTTAAGTGTGCTTTTCGGTTGTAAATCGTTGTTTTTAACAATTAAGTCATTGTAATATTTTAGTAGGATTATGTATGGCCTCCGTCGGCCGGTCTCGACCATGGATGATGCGCCCTCACTTGGATGCCGTTATACTTTCACGGCTGGCACATTCGGGAAAGGCAGACTTTTCCACATGTGGCAGAGGTGTGGATGGTCGCTGGTTCTGTCACACTTGTGCGTGCCTTTCGTCTGGCTCTCTTTCCCTTGGCCAGGGTCTGAATCTGCTCCTCCCCTGCTTTGAGCTGTCTCTGAAGTGTAGAGCGCCAACTGCTGTGGTCAGCTTCCATGTCTTCCCAGCTCTGGGTATTGATGTCCAATGCTTTCAGGTCGCGCTTGCATATATCCTTGTAGTGCAGCTGTGAATGGCCTACAGTTCTCTTGCCCGAGGCAAGCTTGCTAACAAGAAGGATAGCTACAAGGAGGATTTCTCTTTAATACACTATGCCTACGCATTCTTCATTTTTAAAACAAAAAGAAACTCTACCTACTATAATAGACCAGAAACTTAAGGTGATTCCCTGGTTTTGCACTGCGCATCTCTTACTGCGCATAACAAGATGGACTCCGTAAAAAAGAGCATGTTGAGTAACATTATTAAAATGAAGTTGACCGAAGAGAAATGCTATTGCAATTTTTGCTTGGGGTTGTTTCTTGGCGAGGTGACACTCAGTGTGGTGGGAATTGCATGAGTTCGACTTTCTCACGGAGAACCTCGATAGTGGATGTTTAATTAGTGCTTATTTACTTTGATTTTCATTTAAACGCTTTCTTTATCACATTGTATCCTAAATGTGATATCTAGATGTAAATTCTGTAAAAACGGATTTTTTAATACTTTCTTCCCCCTTTCACGTACATTCTATTTTAAAACTCGCCCCAGTCCTCTCTCAAAAATCAAGCAAAATGCATTTGGTGCGCACTTTCTGCAGCTCTACCGCAAAAACGAGTACGGTGACCCCCATTTTTTATTTCATGATTTTAATAAGGACAGTACTTCCTGTCGATGAGAAAAAAATTGGCACAAATCTATGTTCAGTTTTTTGGCAATTTTACTAAATTGTACGGATTGAGCTATCACGTGTCGAATAGCGCGTGTCCAATTTAATTCTACTTTGGGGCGTGAAGTAAAAACAAAGGCATTAAAAAGCATTTTTATGGTACGTAAGTGGACAAACAATACATTAAAGTCAAATTCTGTGCGATACCACATGCATCTTTGAAAAAATCTTTCCTTTTTGTCTAGTTTTGGGCTGCGCGCGGTTTTTGTCCAAAGGTCCAAAATAGCCGTATTTGCCAGCATTGTGACGTGAAAACGAGCACGGTGACCCCCACTTTTTATTACCTTTTTATCATCTTCTTGACTTGTTACATCAGTGTACCAAGTTTCATATACAATCTATGTTAGGTTCTTTTACTAGGGAATCACCTTAAATATTTACTTACTTATAGTATTTAAGAGGAAGAGGGTAAGCGCAACTTAGCGGTTGCTGAACTTTTTGTAATAAATGAAAAAAATTGGCAATTTTTGCACCTTTCTTTGTGGTTCTCGAGAGTGCGTAGTAAAGCCGTTGAAACCATATGGCGTCAGCCTTGCCATAAAAGGGCACAAATTTGAAATAATTCTGACCACCCCACGTGGCTGGGGTGAACGTGACCAGAAAATGGGATAAATTTGATTAATTCTGACCAGTCATAGGACATTGTTTGCAGGCTCCACGTGAGTTCAGTTCGATCATAAGAGGAAACGGATTTGAATTGAAAATGACCAATCACAGCGCGTTTTCTCCATGTCTCGCCCGCATGTTTAGAAAGATTGACACGTTACTGAACAACGAGCGCTTTTTGATTGACAAAGAAGAAAAGGCAACTCAGAAATGACGACAAAAACAAAGATGATTTCAATTCGGGCTTTTGAAACAACAAAGTCTGCAATGCATTTTTAAAATGTAGCGATTGTGAGAGCAATTCAAACTATGTTACAGCTGAACGGCCACCTCTCTGCAACAGTCACTTTCTTCTGTCCCCAAGGTGGCCGTTGCGGAGAGGTTTAACTGTACCATGATTTGACTGCTGCTTCACGCAGTAACTGACAGGGCGTGCATAACAAATCAACGCTTTTCAATTTATTGAAGAATATTTTAAAACAGTTTAAATCGAAAGCGATAATTTTTATTTACACCTCATTGTTAGTAACATGGATAATAGGCTGTGTATAAAAGTGGGACGAGGACAAGGGGACGGGAACATCGGGACGGGTGTGTGGGGGCTTGGGACTTGGGGACGCGAGACGGGGGACTTGAGGACATCAAGTATGGGACGCAGGGACGTGAGGGACGGGGACGCGAGGACGTCAAAAACAGGGACGCAGGGGACGCGGGATGTGAATGATTATCACAAAAGTCGGAGGTAAATGCGATATCAGTCACTTTTCTCGTGAATATGTTTTGGTGAAGGGAACCCACCCTGCCTTCCTTAGGGTTCCTCCATGCCTGTTTAAGAAGCGACGTACTCGGCGAAGACCCCCTGCATAGAAGAACTTGGTGAAACCGTTGTCCTGGTCTTCTTACTGATGGAATATTGGAGCCCAAAGCAGGGTAAGGTGGGTTGCGATCGCCAAAAATTATGTAGAATGACAGTATTCGATTCCAAATAAATTTAAAATTAAGTGGCGTAAGCGAGCTTCGAATCCCGAAGTGCTAACTCCGAAATCCATCGCCTGTACCACTAAACTACGGGGGATTCAACTATTGTAGCTATATTTATTTTGTTCTACATATATTTTTAAGGGAAACCTAACAGTAAATGCTTGCTAACAGTACTCAAAGGTTGATTGTCACTGACGCGTTTTTGGCTATGCACGTTAACGCGAGTAAATTTTAATCACGTAAATAAGATAAAGGTAAAATATAAACGTGAAGTTGAGTGAGATTCTACTTTTACGCTTACGTGCGACCTTCCATACATTGCCTCTATTTTTTTTATTTGCGAACGCAAATTTTACGCACGTAGGCATGGAAAAATTACGCGACAGTGGAAATCAACCCTAGCCCAACAGGAGGGCATTT